CTCAGTGACCATAGTGAAATACAGGTTGTTAACGAAACTGCAATAAAATTTCATTATCGCGCAAAAAAGTAATGTATTTAAAACGGATAAGACAGATCAAAACAAGTACTATAAACACTTGAAGTTTACTGAAACCGAAACTGGCATCTTAACATAAAAATCCGTTAAAATCGAGTAGTACGTTGAGTCAAGACTACAGTTAACTAATAATTAAAATAAATTTTAATAGAAAAGTAATCTAACGAACGTTAAGCTCAGGATGGATTCTTTGTATTAAAAATGGTACTTTCGTTGATAAGGACACAGAAAAAACGTTTTGAGAAATACAAATCACGTTAAGATAATATTTCTTGTTTGAAAAGCTCGCTTTGGTAGTCCATAGTCTTTACCTATCTGTGTTTTTAGAAATAACGTTTCTCAAAATAAGATTCAACATAGTGTTTCGAGCAAGGCACAATAACCAACCAGATTCGTTGTTGTATGTTCATATACAAATATAGAGAAAACACTTCTGTCTGTTTTTCTTAAGACTAGCCCTTTGCATTTTTGTAGTGTGTACTGTTTTTTTTATTGATATTTATAATTTGTATTGGGACGCCCATCTTTGTGTATGATTGTAGTGATTATTACCATATTATCTACAAAATCTGAATCCTTAATATTTCATTTATATTGTTGAGTTTCTCAGCGACCGTTTTATCTGTTTTTCGTAACATTGTTTTTAAGACACTCACGAATTGGACTGTCATACTTTAGTCGATACTTGATTACCTCTGAGCTTTTTTCCTGTTTGCTTTTAGGGACGTTTGATATAATTCGCTATTAATTGCTCATACAAACATCACACTTCTTCAACATTACAAAATTTTTTACATCATGATAGGCAAGTTATTGGTGATTACCGTCTTTTTAATTATCGAACTCGGGAGTGCGTGACTGAAATTTCATCCTAGCGACAGACCCGCTAAAGCAGTCCGATTTCTACCTATCCCTGCTATACTTCGATTTACGATACAACTTTATGCCCGCTTCGTCTTTCCTTCAAGACAACCTATTGCAAATAGATTCAGACCTATATTATGAACATGTTATTAATAACTGATAAGTATTTATGATCAAGACTTTCATAACAAGGTTTATCTTTGCATCTAACTATTTCATGTTCTCTTTTAACATCGAAATTAACGCGTTTCTCACCTTTTACTTTGGTCTTCTATTTATTGATCCTGACCATTTCTATTTCGTTACAATTTACAGATCAGAAATCTTTGCTCTCGTAATTTAGCCGTACATTCTCGAATGATAGTTTAACCTAAAGAAGTTAGATAAAGTCGGAAAAAGTGATTAAGCATATCAGTTTATTCAAATACAAATAACTCCGCTTGTTGAATTGTAGTGTTTGAATGAACTAATGATTGCTTTGTATTTGCTTGATTTCGAATTCTAAATTCAATACATTCCTTAGTGCTTGTGTATTACTTCTTGATTCAGTTGCGTTGCTTCTGGGATTCTTAGTTCATACTATAATTCAATTACTCTTAATTATCATATTGGCGTCGCGATGGGTCCTGCGATGGAACACTTAGATATTCATTCGGATTTTGATGCTTATGAGGATTACTTTGAAAGGTTCGAAATCTGGGCTATTACCAAGGAAGATGATGAAGATGTTAATATTGTGGCACATTTTCTCACATTCATCGGAAAAGAAGCATATAGCTTATTAAAAGTTTTGGCTTTACCGGTAACGCCCATTTCCCTTCCTTATACAACTCTCAAAGAACTACTTCTAGACTATGCTAAGTATACAAATTTTGAATGCAGTAAAGGGCGATTTCGTAAAATGATTCATGATGATGAAAAAATTCCACTACATTACGTCACCTCATCCCAGTGCATACTCAAGGTTATGCAGATAATTCATTGGGGAGTTGCAATGCAGTTCACGAAGATGGGCACAAGTTTGTCCTGTGGCAGGTTCCACTCTTTTAATTCATGTAAATTTTATAATTCTAAGTGCTTGAAATGTGGTGGTATCGGACATATTCACTCAGTTTGTAATTCTGCTCCTAATAAGTTGAGTATTTATAATGATCATTTATCTTTATCAATGATTTCAAAAGACAATTTAGAGTTGTGTAGAAGTTCTAAGTTAAATGAAACTCAGAATCCTTCCAAGACAACAATTTCTAATCAATCAACCTATCAGATTTCCCATGTTATTGTACCAGATAATTTTTCTTAATGGTTCACATATTTCTGATGAAATTTCTTACAAATCTGGTGAAAATATTTCGGATGAACCTAATCATGATCGAAAAACTGATGTAGTTTTAATTGATGCTGATTTTTATAATGATTCTTTACTCTGCAATGACATTGTTAATGAATTTGAGGAAACTATTTCAGAAGAATCAAACCTTGATGTCATATCAAATATTATTTGTCATCATGATGCATTTGTTTCTTGTGAGAAACTTGTTCAATGCGAAGTACGAGTATTAAATGAGTTAGAGTTTGATTACAATTCAGATAATTCCATATCAACTGTTGTTTGTCCTTATCATAAATTCACTTCCAATGTTTACTCTAGTCAAATTGAGAAAGATGTTTTAAATGAAGCCACATTATTCATAACTTGGAGATATGAAGATCCGACATTATTTCGTGAGGGAGGATAGTCTATGGTTCATATCCTAGGTAGTAGTTTCAGTATTCAACCGGCATGGTGATTGTTCATAATCCCAGAAATCAAGTCTGTTCCGATTTCCGTTGTTAATTCTAATACTAATGAGTGCATCCTAGATAATACAGAGTCTTTATCCAATACACTGTTAGACAGACACAGGATGAACTTAAGAAGACGTGCAATCAATTACAGACACCTGGACTCCAATTTAAGCTGTGGCGGATGTGGTGTTTGAATGAAGTAATGATTGCTTTGTACTTGTTGAATGTTTGATTTTGAATTCTAAATACAATACATTCCTTAGTGCTTGTCTAATACTTCTTGATTCAATTGCGTTATTTCTGGGACTCTTAGCTCATACTATAATTCAAATACTCCTAATTATCATATGAATGTTAATGGCTATTTGTCCTGCTGCCCGACTCTTTTTTTGCATTTCCTACCAGTATCACCACGTTCGTAACACGCAGCCATGGAAATCTCACTCAAACGTAGATCATATGCTAACTTGAATGGTGATCAGGCTCACAGTTTCTACTTTTCGCGTTATTTATTGCCTTATATTAGTCATAATCGTGAAGTCCAATTATATACCGCAAATCTATCTAATACCTGTTACACCGTACAACCAACCAATACACGTAGACGACCTTAAGTAACGACTTAGAAAACTGATACTCTATGCCTGACGGCTGGTCCAATACTAACTGGCCCCGAACGAAGAGGAAAAACACAAGATCAATGTTCACAAGTCCGAGATCATAATAATATTTCAGACATTCATCTATATACAAACAAAACCAGACCAATCAGGTAACAGTATTAACACCGAACAACAACATTAACGATGGGAAAACGGAATACTTAGTACACAATTGGTTCTAGTTTATGAGTGGAAAATGCTATAGCAACAAATTACGGTCCAAATAAAGGCTTAGAACCGGGGTAATATGAGAAAAGACCAGAACACCTCTTTCTATAGGTATTCACAGTGGTAATGTGACGATAGGTGGCAAACTTTCTCATGGAAAGCCCATGAAGATATTCCAATCAGGTATTGTTTATGAGACGATTTAACTATGAGGTGAAAACTTCCGAAGGTGTATACCTATAGAAAGAGGTGACATTTAAGAATTAATGTTACTCACTCACTGGATTCTAATACTATTATTATTACATTCGCGTTATGACATTCACAAACCACTGGAATAATTCCCCCTCTTAAAGCGAGCTTATCCAGCTTTTGTATGTCGCTTCGTCTGATATTGTTATTTTATTTTTCTCTACGCATTTTTATTTTCAATATCATTTCCTATTGTATGCTTGTGAATGCCTTTAATTTTGATTAGACTGATCATCTTTAATATGTTTAAGTCATCTATTACCGAGATAGTTCTATGAGACTAATTATTCACTAACATTCATTTTTTTTACTATATTGTTATCCCGCACTGGATATTTCCTACATACTTACTAGCTACTCGCCTACCGAACAGTCTGGAACCTATTTAATAAATTGACCGTCTAGTGACACGTGCATGTTCATTTAACCACTAGCCTAAGCAATAGAGTGAACCTCATGAACGGCGACAATAGCATGGTCACAACTACTTCAAAGTTCGTAGTGGTTAGCAACATTATCATAGACATAAGTTTGGATTTTATGTTTTATGACTTTCTTCGTTCTAATTTATTTTGTTTTCCAACACTACGCTTCAATATGTGACAACTCCCAGACACTATACCATTTAAGAATCTGTATCATTAGATTCACTCAGATAGCTACCTACTATTATGGTGAAACTAATTAATTGTTAACAAAACAATATTATACACAGTTCCCCCCCCCGTCAAAAAGTGATTTTTTTCAAATGTATCAATTGATGATCTTAACACATTGAAAATCGGAGTCGAAATAAAAAAAATAGATAAGCTGATGGGGAAAAGTTTGAAGCAGTATGTTTACGTGTATGCACACTGATTATCACGTAAATTGTTTCACAAAATAAGATATTAAAATGTTATTACTCAAAGTATATATAAAATCAATTCTGTACGATGAATAAAAGCTATAAAAAAAATTCCGAAAGTTTTGTAAATGATTAGAAAACAAAGGTCAATAATTGATAAACAAAAATTAGAACAGTAACTTTTAGCAAGGAATCTTATTTCTTTCTGTAAACTCTGACGGAAGTATATATGCGGAACAATAGTAACTTATTTGATAATAACAGTTATAATCGACGAATCATTGTATAAATATCTCAAAAATAACCTGTAAAACAAGTGAATTTCTACACAAGCATACATCTTATTGCAACAATGAAGCTAACAGCTCAATCCGTTCGTGAACTCGGCGTAAATAAGTTTGAGTTTCAACAATCATTAGTAAAAGTTCTTTACTATCAGTAGAATCAAGACTAATATCAGTTGATAATGGAGGATTTAATCGAAAGAATGGTACTGCAAGTGAACCACACCATGCACTAGCACGATCAACAACTCGACCTAAAGTGTTAAAAATTACAAAATAATTTTTTTCATTTAAAATGTTCATATAATAAACAATATAGAAATACAAATAAATTAATATATTTATAAAATCCTAACGAGTAGAAAAATCAAATTTTTTGAAATACAGTTATACTAAGCGAATCGATGTATTGAACTAGATGGAGAGAACTACCAGTTAGTTTCAAGTCAGATATGTGAAGATACAACAAACTTCTTTCTTTTCCAACTACGCCCACTTGCCTTACGAAATAAAGCTTGTGGAAAACATTTATTGGAAGAAATCAAAGGACGTTGATTCAAAAACACCAGATACGTGTAAATATGTTTATAATGACCATAAAAATAGAATGGAAAATTGGCATACTAAAAGAATAAAAGATCAATAGGAAAGTAGTATTCCTAGTCTTGGTAAGAATGAAGGATCTCTGCTATGAGGAAAACTTCAGTGCGTAAACGAATAGAAACTGAAATTTAAAATGTAAACATGACAAGCAGGTGGTTCTTCAGGGATGTAACATCCTTAACGTAAGAAGATAAAGTAAAGTAAAATATTACAGATTACTTAGATAAATTCAAGTTATCCAATGCCTAATTATTTAAGAAATAATTTTAAAATCCACAAGAAAGTACATGTAGATAGAAAAAACACATAATAAGATGTTCACAAGATAGGAGATTATGATGTTGTGCTAGGTCTTTATTACAGACTTATTCAGATTAACTTCGTACTGTTTATTGCCGTTAATACATTTGATTGAAATGGCAATTATCATGTGCTCCAGAGAAAATTTCCGGAGTTCCAGTGAGAAACTGCGATTAGTGGAGCTAAACCGTATCGGGTTTGAAAACGTTACCCACTGAAAATAGTGAAAGATGGTCGTACAATATTATGAATTGGTTGAAGTTGGACATTAATATCGTTGGATGTCGGCTCATTCGTCTAGAGTTTAGGCATTCGCACCCAAAATTGAAGGTCTTGAGTTCAATTACCACATACGGGTTGTGGATGGGCACCACAGAGGAGTTCTATGATAGGATGAGACGGCAGTCTAGTTCTTCCAGATTTTTAGTAATTGTGCAACTTGTATCAGTTCGTGATTTCCATGAAATTTACGATCCATTTTCTTCAAGACCGGTATAATACTCAAATTAACAGTTAGTGACAGTATAAATTAGCTTCATGTCTTTGTTTGGTTGCTGTAAGGTTTTTCAAATCAAATTTGTATGCTTCGACATTTTATGTCGATTTCTGCTGGTTGGGAAAATATCATGTTGACAGGTTTGAGTTTCCAAAAGGAAGTAAGACATTACTACTAAAAAATAAGCGAGCTTAAATCATTTAGGAGTAGAGCTGAGAGATTTAAGCGTTTCAACACACTAGCTATCATTGATTTATCAGCTTAGAAACCAATAACCAAAAGTTTCAACTATGAATAAAATTGGATATAAAGGCACCAAGTGTTGGAGACTGAAAATATTGACGATGAAATTTCTGTCGTAACACCTGGATGTATTGACTTCGGTAGTAAAAGTAACATGGACTGTGCACTACTTTGAATCAGCCAGCCACAAGGAGAAATGGTGAATTCTTATTACTTTTCAAACGATTGCGATACTTCCATTATTATTAATATTATTTATTATTTGAAGACAAAAATATTAGTACAAAGGGGCACCGAATATGTATGTGCCACACAAGTAACTTGGTTTGTGTGTGGGCTGTAATACTGCCAGAATGCTCAAACCGAAGCAGGTGGTTTTCTTAGGTGGGCACATCCGGAGCCTTCGACCTAAAGATCTGATCCACAAGGTAGTGGGGCAACGTAAAGAGATGTAGTCCCATGGTAGCCGGTGACCGATAATTGGTTTATACGCCATTTGTTCTCTGAATCCTGGAGACCATGTGCACCATTGGTCTAGAATTAGCGTTTTCCAACTCGTCTAGGTGGGTCCTCCATATCCACCGACCCGGTTAAAGCGCTGGACATTCGCTTTTCGTCTTTTCAGTTTCATAAACAACAGTAATGCCGCAAGAAGGCAGTGAGTAGGTGTGGCCATGTGAGGGCGATTCGAGAGGGGAGCTAAATATCTCCACCCTCGGCCGTACCATGGCATTTGGGGGCCCGATATTTTCAAACTAAATTTATTCATTATAACCATGCAAATAATAATAATAATAAACTCGACAAATATTTAGTTTTAAACGAGTTTTAAGAGTTAAGAAGTAACAAAATTCTTGGATGAATAGGGTTCTCATAAAGTCATAAATGAGTCGGAAATCCTGAAAATGAGCTCTTAAACATTTAGAGACGCAAGATTTATTTCTTGCAAACTAATCAAAGAAATAATACAACAATCATCATACTTTTCGGCAGCTCTTTTTGTTATTATGAAAAAGACAGTAATTAACAGGTATTATTGTTAATAAAAAACATTTATAGTTTACGGTCAAAATGAAATTTATTTGACTCTTCTTCAGCCTCGATATTTAATTACGGATATTTGACCATACAGCTAAATGATTTCATCAACAACCAGTTAGCAATTGTCACAAAACTACTGTCTGGTAAATTGCTATTTGATTAAGTGGTAGAGTGGACGAGTATAGCCCTGTGGTATCTGTGCATATATATGGTTGATTGATTAAACAATTGGGAGCTTAAACAACGGAATTACACATTTAAAACTGCCACCCGCTAATTGTCTTTGCCTATCCTTTTATGGATGGTTTGTTTGTGTCGCTTTTATTTTTGATTCACCATTATTTACAGTTAATTAACTATATCAGAGTTACTAGTTTCACATAAAATTTGATTTTTTTTTCAAGCTATCGAACAACTCACCATCCGACATGGTTGCAATTTCAACTAGAATACGACCAAGAAATCCGAAACCACGTACAGATCGATATGTTTCCATAATATTTTGTGGGCGAAATACATCTACTGTCTCTACAGGCATTACAGGCAACCGTCCAGTCCCAAGAGAAACAACCACTGCTATAGGAGTTATAGGTTTATTCTAAAATGTTGAAAGGAGTTTTGCTTTAATATATATGATAATTACTGGACGTTTTGAGTAGTAAAAAACCCACGCTTTTAGTTTTAGCAGTAACAGTGTGGATTATATGTTGTAATTGCTAAACTGTTTAAGCTGAACAAACCTCTTAGTTAGTTCATACAGTTATATCCTTTGAATAGTCTGTGAAATAAGATCTTGGACTGTGAAACAGTCCGAAAAAGGGTTGAACCTCACGGGGAGTTTCAGCTCCCTTAAGACTGCAGTTATAGCTTGTTGATAAGTTTCTTCCCGTTTGGAATTCAGTACACTTGGGGAACCAAATTTTAAGTCGATTTATTACTATGGTTCATACAGAGTCTTGTTAATCCACCTACCCTAACTTACCACAGTAACCCTATCCATCTCTTCGTCTCTAAACACTAACTACTCGCAATACATAAGTACATCAATTCATCATCGCATTCAGAGTTGAGTTACCCAACTAATTGCAGCAAAGCTATTCTAACCTAGAAATATAGGTTACTGTCTCTTTTGACTAACCTTTTCAATATGTATCTTTTAACCAAGAGAAAGTTCAGGATAATCAGGGAGAAACAAACTATCGGTCGATAAAGCTCAATACTGAGATCCTCAAACGATGTTAAACATTTTGGATAAGAGTTAAAGAAATGACAAGTTGGGATAAAAAGGCGATTTCACGTCTCCTCTAACACAGTTTAACATTATTTCAGGTTAATATGTTTCGTAATCATCATGTGTCAATTTTGATCACTATGACAGGTGTAAACTTCTCCCTAGTGTGACAATTATATTTTCCATATCATTCTGTACGAATTCCGTATACGTTTTACAGAAATCTTGTGCATCTTTCCATTTATATGATGTTTACTAACGACTCATCAAGTGTGCGTCAAATCAGTTTATAAATGAATGCATCTGGTTTAGTGATAACGTGATTTTAGATGAATAGTGCGGAAAGCGTGTTTTTGGAGAGTTAATAAATTTTCACTCGTACCAGTCCTTATGTTATCACTTTGTGTTGTAGGAATCGTAATGATTCCCGTTTGCAAGTATAAGCAGTAGGATAGCGGATATTACGAATGAGACACAAAAAATAACAGTATATATATATATATATATATATATATATATATATATATATATGTCACATCTCACCTTACCCCACGGATTTCCGTCTCCGGCGGTAAGGCCCTTTGAAGAACGGAGCTAACACATCAAAAACCTCCCACAAAAAGGCCGTGCGCGACCGGCCTCAAGCAGTTGTCCCTTGGGCTCTGCGGTCACGCTCCCAGGTCGTTAAGACCAACACTAATTCGATTTCCTTTTCAGGTTCCTCAAGAAATACCCTTCCATGGTGTGGGCAGCCGGGAAGTGACATCAGCCCTCATACCCGTAACAGCACACGAGACCAAGTTGGTCACATTCAAATCCTTCATACACCACCTAATAACTCCTTTATCTCCACGACTAACCCTTTCATGTCCCTTTATCACCTCGCCCCGCTAATGCAAACAACTCGAGTACGCGGAACGTTATTTCTAGTCTCCTGAAACCACGCTCTAAACTACACGTAGGAGCTTTCAACGTCCGAACACTGTGCCAAATAGGACAACAGACTTCTTTAGCTAGAACTTTAAAATCTCGCGCCATCGATGTGTGCTACGACTCCGAAACGCGCATACAGGATCCGACCTCACCATGTCAAAGTAACGAACCAAGTCGATTTACACTTCGTGTATCTGGAAGCCCTGATGCTGCTTCCTGTGGCCCCGCTGGCGTAGGTATAGCATTGAGTCCTAGGGCAGAACTAGCTCTTTTGACACGGAGACCCTCTAATTCGCCCCAACGTTGGACCCAAATAAATCACATCGCTATCGGCCACCGATAGAGGGGCTCGATGGAAGACTGTCACTCATTCTGGAGCACATGCTTAGACTCAGATCATGCTCTAGTGCGAGCGCGTATTTGTCTACGTCTTACTGGACGTAGGAAAGGTGGTGCAAGGAAACCCCTTAGGGTCCTACTAAATGATAGTCAAGCTAAGAGTATATTTCAGGAACAACTAGAAAAACAGTAAGGCAGCCATGTAAGTGATGTTCACCCCGAGGCAGCGTGGAATGACATCCGAAAAGCTGTAGAAACAGCATTGATGTCTGCAAGTACGGTAAACCATAAGGTTAGGGAGAAACACTGAATCTCAGCAGCATCTACCGCACTGATAGATGCTCGAAAACTCATTCCATCTGGCTCTGAACATAACGAAGAGCGGAGTCAGCTTAAGCGTAAGCTGACTAGAAGCCTACGCAAAGATCGTGAACAGTGGTGGGTAGCGAAAGCAAGAGAGATGGAAAAGGCAGCGGCAATAGGTAACAGCAGACAACTGTTCAGACTTGTTAAGGAAACCCGTATTAGGAACCCAACTGTTAGCGCAACAATCGCAGAGAAAGATGGACATATTATTCATTCTCAATCCAGGAGATTGGACCGATGGGCAGAATACTTTAGGGATCAGTTCAACTGGCCTTCAGCCACACTTCGGTTTCCCACGATCTCCAATCTACCTGAATGGCAAGTCCTCCGACTCTTTACGAAGTTGAAAAAGCTATAAGAAATCTGAAGCGTGGGAGAGCAGCAGGCCCTAACAGATTTACCCCTGAGATTTTTAAGGATGGCGGTTCAGTATTAGCAGCGAGATTGACTGAGGTCTTAGGTGGAATCTGGGAACTGGACGTAATCCCATCTGACTGGTCTCAATCACTGATTGTGCCAGTCTATAAGAAAGGACAAAGGTCCTCCTGTGACAATCACAGAGGAATTAGTTTGACTAATATAGTGTCTAAAATATTAGCTTCAATATTATTTCGTCGTCTAACTAAATCTCGTGAAGAGCAGACTAGAGAAAACCAGGCTGGTTTCCGACCTGGACGTGGTTGTATAGATCAAATATTCACACTACGTCAGGTCCTAGAACATAGACACACATTTAGACACCCCGCAATCGTAGTATTTCTCGACCTTAAGGCGGCATTTGACTCTGCTGATCGTGAGGTTCTATGGTAGTGTTTGTCTCTGAATGGAGTACCAAAGAAGTACATCAACCTTATAAAAGCTCTCTACTCGAACACAACTGGTCGAGTGAGAGCTTATGGCGAACTGTCATCAGAACTGATTACCTCGAGTGGTGTTCGTCAGGGCTGTCCACTCTCTCCATTCTTGTTTAACTTTGTTGTTGACGTCCTTTTAGAGATGACACTTTCCTCATCTAAATTTCTAGGAGTTGAACTTCTACCGGGAGATCCGCTGGTTGACTTAGGATATGCCGATGACATAGTTCTATTTAGTGAAGACTCTGACAAAATGCAGAGTCTTCTGACCACTCTAAGCAACAATGCAGGCATGTTCGGCATGCGATTTTCTCCCTCGAAACGCAAAATGTTGCTTCAGGATTGGGTTGCGTCGACACCGGAACTAATGATAGGGAGGGAAGTAGTTGAGCGTGTCGACCGCTTCACTTATCTTGGAAGTCTCATCAGCCCTTGTGGTCTGGTGTGTGACGAAATCTCAGCACGGATACAGAAGGCTCGACTAGTTTTTGCCAACTTGCGTCATTTGTGGCGTAGACGAGATATCCGTCTATCAACCAAAGGGCGTGTTTACTGTCAGCAGTTCGTTCCGTCCTACTTTATGGCAGTGAAACATAGCCAGTAAGAGTAGAGGATATTCGTAGGTTACTAGTATTTGATCATAGGTGTCTTCGAAACATTGCTCGTATATCCTGGGACCACCGAGTAAGTAACTCAGTTGTTAGGAAACGGGTACTAGGTAAGGATGGCAAATCAATTGATGGAGTAGTGAAACCTAATCAGTTGAGATGGCTGGGACATGTGTTACGTATGCCCAATCACCGACTTCCTCGACGTGCGATGCTTTATGGTGTAGGAGTAGGTTGGAAGAAAACTAGGGGTGGCCAGACCAAAACATGGTACAAATTCATGAAGTCACTGACAAGTGGACTGAGCCAAGTTGGTAGGTGTAGACTACCTGGTTAGGGACCGCGAGATGATAGCAACCGATGGTTAGAGACCTTGAATGACATGGCGCATGTGAATCCACCCTTTGTGTTCTCCCAAATTCTAATCTTTTGGATTTTTCATGTCTATTTTTTCTCTTTAAATTTATTTCAGTGGACGATACTCCTTGAATAATATCGTCAAACCCTAATGTTCCCTATCACTACTTATACTTTCACTACCTCAAACACTACGGGATTTGAATCGATAACTGAATCTCTGTGCTAATGTGGTATGGCAACTCGAACTGATGTACGTACGTACGAAGTTCCACGTTGTTACTGACTGATATATAATTGTACAACAAATTCGTTGAGAAGAGATCCCTTCGCTGAACTTCTTGTTTTGAATTTTAATTCGAAGTATCACATGTATAGACTTATTGATGTGTAGCTTGTCTTGTTCTGATTTTTTTACTTTTCATTACTGGATTATGTTAACAGACTATTAGACCAGTGTCAAAATTGTTATTGTCTGGGTAATGTCATATATTTCCATTATTATAGCATATAATATGACTTAATATTCTGTAATTTATAAAAATTCCACACAAGTTTAAATAAATGACTAACTTTTAAACGTTGTAAAAGTTGTAATTCTTGAATTTCTGTTAAAATATCTAGTGTTGGATTATTTGAAATTAATCCACCATCCAAAAAGCGCCCACAAGGTCTAAAATATGTCGGTGCAGCGCTTGAAGCTCTAGCAGCTTTCCAAACTGGCTAAATAATAGTAAAAATAATAAGTGAATTAAAATTAAAACTGTAAGAAGTATTACTGGTGTTTTATGAATTTATTCAACAAACAAGTAATAATATCTGGAAAATTGATAGTGAAGTATTAAACTGGTCAACAATAATGATCAGTTAAGAGTTCAAAATCGTTTAAATCAAAATTAAATGCTTATGAAAAAAACCGGTTCTTAAGTGAGGTATAAATTTATACATAAGAATTTAATTTAAGATGTAATGAAGTATAGCTATTCAAACCTGAAAAATCTTCAAACAATTAACAGAATATGAGACAAATGATATTACTTTACGGAAATGACTCTTTATAATACTTTTTTATGAACTGAACTTTTGGTCACTATTAATCTAAATACTAGGGATATTGCTCAGTTTCCTAAACCTGGGGAGATGAAATAGGAATTCGAACATATGACCTATTGGTTTAAAGCTAAATGTTATAACACTTAAGTTATTGCTCCAAATACCTTTAAATGACTAAAATATTTCTTAGGAAAACTATTTACAGTGTTTTAAAATCCGATTTCATTATATTTATTTCTACATGACAACGTATCTTTATCATTTTGAAATGATCAAAATTCTTGCCATTATTCGCTTTTTTATAACACGAAATAGAAAGACTTACATGTTCATTATCTTCAGGCATTTGTTCAAACGGATTATTTAATTCAGTGTCAGATGTTGAAAGGTTGGCACTTGTTTCACTACCTATTAACAATCCCTGAGCATTTGAGAAGAAATTTAAAATAGATTGAGAAGTTGAAAGTGTTGATGATTTTGGAGATTGAGCTTCACGATCAAGCTCAAGGACGGAAGTAGACTGACGATGAGTTAAACCGCTATTTTTTCTGTGTGTTCGTCGATACACAGAAGACTTTAATCCAGATTGACGTGTTTCTAAAATTTGTTGTATTCGAGTACGGGGAGATTTATAATTTCTGAACATATGCAATATTGGTGGACATCGATCACTGACAAGTGTGGTTACAGCAACTCTAATAATTTTAGAATGAGTAAACATAGGTAAATTACTTGAAGAAACTATTTCGATGCGGAACAACGTAACGAAAAACTATGCTACCTGTATTATTGATAAATTAATGCTTGGTTTTTCTAAAAACATTCAAATACGATTAGTAAGAGATATTAAACCAAACAGTAATGTATTTCAATGTATCATAAATTCATGACATATCTGATCACCGAACTGAAAATAATTCTATAGAGAGAGGTTGTAAAATTGCTAGCTTATTAAATAACTCACTTTTAGTTATAAAACAATGATATATTTATGATCATTGTCTAATGGAGTTTAATCTGTATCGGGTGTGAGACAGTTATTCACCTCAAGCAATGGATAAGGATTGCGCAGTATCGTGAATTGGTTGAAATTAGGCGTTAACATCGTTGGTCAAGAGGTTAGGCGTTCACGCCCAAGACTAAAGGTCTTGAGTTCAATTACCGTATACGGGTTGTGGATGTGCATCGCTGAGGAGTTCCATGACAGGACAAAACGTCCATCCAGTATTTTCAGGTTTCCAACGGGGGTTTAGCTAAAATCAGTTCGTGATTTAAGTTGTGAAAATATTTGTGATATCTCAATGAGCAGAAGTTCAAATTTTAAAGTTTTGTTGCCTAGTGTAAGCCACTTCTTCACAGTACATAAATAAATAAATTGAATTAACACAAGTTTGAACGGTTTAAAAGAATAATGATGTCTTGATCAAGGTGTTTCTGTGTGAGATATCACTACCATACAGATGATATTTGTTTATGATAGTGGGTAAAAAAAATGAGCGACTTGTAATATGAAGGAATAGAGCTAAAAATTGAGTGTGTGTAAATTGTGAGAAATGAACAGAGTTAAATGTGGTTGTTTGGATAAATAATTCAAATTAAATGCATAGTCAAGGTTTCTTTTTTGTTGAGGACAAAGGGATACAGCATCATATGTAATTATCTACTCTCCCTCCTTTATAGTTGGGATAAACATTTATGGATTATAAATAAATAATATGTATGCAATATCTCAATGAGTGGAAAAATTAGATTTTCTGACGTTTCGTGACTTATTTATTTATAACAATCTACCCAATGCTCAATTTATTCGAAATTATCAAATCAAACCTCGGTAATGATACCTATTTATGGATTATTTTAATATTTTTAATATCGAAATGGTGGTTATTGATTGTTGCACGTACCATTATTGCTGATTTAATTTGTAAATTTTCCATCTCTATAGGATTATTAGACCCACTTGTGAAGCTTAAATGTTCCTTGTAATGAATCGAGATTTCAGATTTTCCAACAGAAAACGCATCATAGTCGACATAATTTAATCTATAGACCAAATTTTCTATGCGGATGTCAGCCATATATTTTCCTCATTTAAAACCAAAGCATTCCGAAAAGTATCAATGACTTATAGAAAGCTTTAATTCTGTATATTTTCAAGATGGGTTCTAATTCTTCTGTCATACCGCGGTACCAGTCCAAGATACTTCATTAGAATTGTTATTTAAAGATGGATAGTTTCGTTATAAAATGCTTTTAATAATATTCATATGAAAATTATTAAATTGAAAGATGATTACTATGTTATTTTTTCTCTCAGATCTTCTGGGTAGATTTAAAGTCTGAGAAAGTTTTGGACTAAATGGATAAACAGAGTTCAACCGATTTAGATGTATTGCTCTATTATTAATTGACTAAATACCGAAAACCTATACATCCACATCGTTACACAGATTTCAACTTTGCACATCCCATCTAGGGTTTAAAAATATCTGATAAACTAATTTTTATTTAATCTCATATCTTTCGATTCTCTATGAAATTGTAAATTTAAAACAATTACATCAAATTTCAATAAGCTTACCGTCTGATTACACTTTTGTCAACTGATTTACAAACTGTACTTAGTACAATTACTAATACGCAGCTTTAACAGTTCATCTACTTCATAGATAACAATTTATTCGTGTCCACAATGGTTGACTGCATCATGAAATCTCTTTTGTACTTATTTCACGACTAGATAGACTGAACTTGTATTATTTTTGAACAACTAAACTAAACCTCAAGGGAATTAACTGTTTAAATAGAATTCTTAAATATACAGGATAGTTCTGCCAAAGATCTTATCAAATAAAAATTAACTGCCATTATAGAACGACTACAACTAGATATGAAACTAGACAGTGTTAATTATCTATCACATTCATGAGTACATCTTCTCACCAAGATGAATAGACAATCTCATACGAAATCAAATTTAGGGCCTATCGGTAAATTATAAACAAGCAAAGTGAAGGTGAGAACAGACGGAATAGTAATTGTATTATTTCTTTAACTGATCAGAGAGTTCGAAGATGTAACCAACTGGAATATGTTCAAATAACTAAACAGTATTGTGTTTGATCTGAATGATGGAAGTTCTAGCTAAGACCATATATAAAGTCGTTTGTCTTCCGAAATTCCAAGGTAGTATTAACTCTATATGCATTATTCTTATAATTTATAAATGAATGTGCTGATTACAGAAAAAATTAAATTCTTTGTATAGATTTGTTTTCAAGTAAAAGAAGCACTTATTAACTGGCTGAGTATATGCGAATATTTATGATGAAATCAAAATGATCATTTTTATACGCAAAAAAACTCGATTAAAATAATACAGTCTTTGAGTGGTTTACTTGTTAGTTAACAAACGAACACAATAAAGGTCATAAAAAATACAGTCATTAATCTTTTACTTCTGGCCATTGTAATAGTTTTGTACTGATTTCATTCACCAGTCCATACACTTCTTTTATTCTGACCCGGTGTTCATTTCTATCAAGCTTACCTAAAATATGTTTCTTTTTAAGTAGTCAATATTATCAATTAAACCGATTAAAGCACAGCGTATTTCTTACCTGACTGTTTTTAAATCAGTCATTACAGTATTATCACCGAATTCATCACGCATTAACATTTCTAATGGTTCCGGTGGATATGGTCGTTTACCACAGAAGACAAGATCTTTGAATCGAAATAATAATGTACGACAACAATATAAACATTTGCCGGATAATAGGAATAGTGATATCGCTGCACCAGTTGAAGTACCTATAAGATAAATTACATAAATAAATAAACATAAAATGACAAACACACACACATAAAACGAGTCGTAACGACTTTTGGATTGCATACTACATAACAACTTTACAACAATGACTTGCGTATTTTAATGTACAAAATATGTGTCCGACCACAAGTAGAACACTGCACCTTTATAATCTGAGCAGTGTTCACAAAAACGATAAACGCACGTTGGGATTTGTCAAGAGGCGATGTACAGTTTACATTCTTGGGAATAATTATACTTTAAACTAAAAAACCAGATGCATTAGGCTTGAAACTGACTTTATATGGAAGCCGAATGTAATCTTTTCTTCAAAATGCCAAAAACTAACTTTTACAGTCACTGCTGAAATCCAATATGTGGAAACACCCAATTTCAGCATTTGTAACTAAGTCTTCTCTCTGTATCAATGACTATACAAACGAACCTCCAATACTCTGGAATAGTTTGCCACCAATTTGTACGTGAAATAACATCACTAGCAATATTTGTTTGAGAAATTTATGGTTACCTCTTCCTCTCCGAAACTCCTTTAAAGATGCGCATGTGACTGTAGCCCATTCTACAAGTGACATTATAGAGATATTAAAAGTTTGAACACTGTTTTCACTGGGCATGGTTACTAAGCTTACCTTCTTGAAAGTATTTTTGTTATGCCACGATAAGAATGATGAGTGGTAATTTTGGGGATCCATTTATGGACCAGTACTATACGTATATTTTATCGTATAATTGTTAATTAACTAAACTATTCATATTCATGTCGCTTATCATAAGCTTTATTTTAACCTATGAACTGTTAGTATACCATTTTCCATTCTTGAATTATTTTCCGTTTATTAATCACCACCTCCCTCATTCACAGCCACTTTTGGCCAGATTTTGTACAAATGTTATTTTCTATTTTGTGGTACGTTGTGATCTGCTTGTCTGGTATATAAACTGAGTATGTTTTAAATACATGATTCATATCACAGAGGCTCGAATTGGTGTTCTGGACTTAACTGGATGGGCTAGGCAGGAAGCGAGACTAATCAGAACTCTAGGCTGCTCGTACGATTTTACGCGTCATTGATTCGATCGATAATTCCCTGCTCTATAACCGGTGGTCACAAGTTATAACAATTTTACACCTACTCTATCCCCATTTAATTTTATTTATTTTATTTATTTATTTTAACACATAAGTATTGGTACAAGGAGGCACCAAGTACATATGCGCCACACGAATCTCAATTGATTTGTGTGAGGGCAGTGATACTGCTCGGGTGCCCAAACCGAAGCAGGTGGTTTTCTTAGGGGCCACACCCCGAGCCTTCGACCTGAACGTCTGATCCACAAGGCAGTGGAGCATCGTGAGGAGATGCAGTCCCATGGTAGCCGGTGACCAACGATTGGTTCATACGCCATTTGTTCCTTCAGGATACTGGAGCCCATGTGCACCATTGGTTTGGGGTCCGGTTAAAGCGCCGGACATTCGCTTTTCGTCCTCTCATTTTCGTAAACAACACCCCCGCCACGTGAAGGCAGTGAGTAGGACTTCCCTGGCAGGGGCTATGTACGCGTGGCCATGTGAGAGCATTTCGAGAGGGAGAGCGGACTCTCCCCACTCTCGGCCGTACCAGGTCATTTGGGGGCCCCCATTTAATTAACTTAAATAATATCTATCCAAATCAGTAAGTCATAAAACGGCTTGGCACTTGTATAACGGTAAACCTATAACAGTAATTTTATTGCTATTATTGTATGCTTTTTTTTCTCTAGTTCTACATTATTGCAATTAATCATTAATGGCACAAAAAAATCTTAGTCCTCCTACTGTTATGTTTCAAGAGATTACGAGTTCACCTAAAAATCAGCGAACGCGACGAAGGATCAGTGACACAGTGACAAGACAGCTAAACTATTCCAATGCGTCCCATCCCTGCTAACTAGAGGGAGAAGTTCAGGTTCAGATGAGGAAAAGTGTATTCCACAAGTAGCCAGAAGCACGAACAAGAGCAAACATATAGCTCAAACGTATATATGTAGCATAAAAATACCATTGGGAAACGTCGCAAAATAGCATATTAGAAGAGACAACGAACCAAAAACATTTAGGGTCCTTTGAAGTCGTAAATACAATCTGAAGGTAAAAATGAAAGCTTTTGGCGCGAAAACTAGAATTTCAAATTTCCAAAATAAAATTACGAAAATAAGATGTTTACCAAGTGATTTCTGGGGATCTAGCATCCTCAACACCTACTAAGAATTAATGGTTTCACTCTGCTTCCTCCTTGTGAAGAATGTCCCGAAACTATTTATGAACTACATTATTTCAGACAATTTAACCACGTATCTCTGCGCTATACATGTAACATTGCTTTATGTACCAACCAAATCATGCCTGTAAATTCAGTACGCATTCTGGAACAATGTAGGAAAATAATACTTTATTTATGTACTTAAATGGCATCAAATGCTGTTAAGTGGTTAGAGGTAATCGATAAGAAAACTTCAATGTATATTTCGTAGTGGCAAGCATTCATTAATAAGGCACACACCTTTACAATCCTGCATGGAATGTTGCTCTCTGTAGAATTAGAATTCGCGTCATTCAGTGACATGATAATGATTATCACTAAGTGAGCAATTAGTATAAATAAAAGCATGTGAAATAGTAAACACATGAAAACGAAACGAAAACAACATATTTCAATGATAAAGTTTACTATGGCGACTATCACTATTATTATTAAACATAAATTACAGGATGAATATGAATGTACTTTGAAAAACAACAATTTGCTAGTGATTAAGATTGCTGATTTGTTAAGTGTAATTGTTTAAATAATAACCTATTTAACGATGTAAACAGCTTTTATGAAACCGTCCGCGTTCTTTTCTTCAAAGATATGTTCTTAACGGAACAATAGATTATCCGAATAAAATTAATGTGCTGAATTTTAAGCACATTTTTTTCTATACTAATATATTAGTGTTACAAACGCGACTTAAACATACGATATTTCACTTTACTGCATTGTGATTAATCACTCATTGGAGCGTAGAAAACTCTAAATGCGAGGAATGCAAACTACAGAGGATGTTATATGCTAATTCTTATAAGAAAATACCTTGACTTATGGTGATGTAGACAACAACAACAACAAAAGATGTGAACAAAAGCTAACTAGAAATAACTATGTATTGGCAGGAAGTAACAATATTGCATAACGGTTCAGTTTGCTACACAATCTACATTCACAGAGAAAGATAAAAAAACTATACTTGCCATTAGGGTGTTGGTAATTCCTATAATCAACTGTGTATTTTCGTGACAATTTCTTAAAAGTGCCTCCAAAAATATCTTATGATAGTTTTATAACAAAACATTAAAATTAATTAAGCAAAAAATTTCTAAGAGATACTTAAGAATAAAATGATTTTTTGCCATGCTCGCTTTCACCAGTGAAACTGATCGCTGGGTGAACACTGTTAAAACTCCTAGAACAATAAAATGATTGTCTGAATTTATTCTAACAATACTCTTTAAGTGTGAAGTAATAATTCTGTTTAAAATTATAAAGACAAATATTGAAATAATCATATCACTTATGTTACACAATTAAGTGTACGATTTGGAATGATAAAGTAAATACTTAAAAACTTCAACCAGTTCGTGATACAGCTAGAATATCTTTTATTTATTAGTTAGTGGGATCTACTTTGATAATTAACAGCATATATACTAAGGTAACGATAAAAAATCAGCTGATGAGTTAGTGAATCACTATCAATTGAAATAGCTGACGCATATATTACAAATGCGTAAGAACCTCCTGTTTTAACATGAAGTGTTGGTTAGAGTAGGAGTAAGTTGGAAAAAAAGAAACGGTTAATCCAAAAAAATAACATTAGTCCATAAGACAGTGAAAATTGAGCTGAGGCACTTAAGAGTTCATGATTCACACGATTATTATGATCAGTGCATGGAGACGTTAGGTGATGTGGCTCGGAATCGATCAAAATGACCTAGACTGATCCACTCTTCACTTTTCTCTAGATCTTCAACTGTAATTTCCTTTCTTTTAGGACAATATTTTCAATATTTGATCTTTGTTAGAAAATTATTCAAACTTTCTGATTAACCTTACTAAGTTAATTTTGTTATGCTGATGTAAGATAACAACTTTAGCCAGCGTGAATCCATACCATATTGTAAGTTGACTATATCTAATACATTCATTTCAAATGAGCTTTAGGAATCAATAATAATCATAATCAATAAGAAATAAATAAACAAATATTAGTGATGACGAAAAATATTACCAATGATCCAATCAAATAATTCTATAATTTTCTTTCCAGATGCTATTTCTAAAGCACGAAGTAATTGTACGATAACTAATCCACGCATACCACCACCATCAAGTGATAGAACACGGAGACCATTAGGTCCAATTTTCCATTTTTTGGATTTTTTAACACCATGTTGATTATCGGTAAAATTACAATGATTATGATCATCATCATCTGTATTTAAGTCAGATAGTTGATTATGATTGATGAATTTGTCCAAATCGTCCCCCTTATTTCTAGATATATCATCAATATCAGTGTTTGTGGGAATAGTGTCAAAAGTACTAGCAGTAGCACAATTTGTTGTTGTTGATATTATTGATGTACCTGAATCCATAGGTATTCCATTACGTTTAGCGAACACTGAAGGATCACAATTACATTTTGTAGGCCTGAAATAACATGCTGCCTCTACTGGTAAATGTACTCTTCTGGGATTTGTATTGTCAGGTGACTAAATGTTGAGTAGTTAAAATAAAAAAAGTGAAAATATTAAACACGAGAAACTCATTGTAGCAAAGTGATCTTACAATTATACAAAGAAAAACACAAACCGATCAGTATAAAACACAACCAAATGACCATATATAGTTCTTTTTATTTTTAACTATCAGTGAAATTTACTACTTCATGATTGATAACACTATTCAGTTAATTTAAACAAACCAGATAAGGAAGGACTTGAACTAGTGATTAAGGGTATAAGAGTAAACTTTTTAATTTAATAAGTCACATACTAATGATTCTCACCATTATCACATGGTGGTATTGTAGCATGAAGAGAGTGAGCGGACAGCAAAAAAAAGTGTAGACACTTTATGATCTGTTCACTAGGACATTCTAACAGTGACATATATGTTCTGTAAACCAGATAAGCCATGGTAATTATCGTAGATATGGTATTTACAGAGGAAAAATAGGGTATACTAACTCGAGGCATAGAATTTCAAAGCAAGAGAGTAAGCCAATTGATGGGATTGTGAATATAGAATAAACTATACAAATGAGTTAAGTGTGACACATGCCTGATTATTACTCAAATAAATACCTGATATTAATTCGAATGAGAACAGGGAGTATAATGTGTTAATAATGTCATTCGAATAAATGAATATAAAGTGAAATAACGTCTGATATTCTAATTTACAACTATATATCTAAGTGGTTCTATATTTATTAAGGATTACTTTAAATTACTGACATTAAAAAAAAATTTAAATAAAATTAAAGATAGAAATAAAAAAAGAAATAATGGATTTAAGGAATCAACGGAAAAACAATTAATAGACCATGACTGGACAAAAAGTAACAGTAATATCAAGTGATATTTGTCACGAACTGATATTAGCTATGGTATCATTGAAAACCAAAGAGTGCTGGACAGGTGTTCCGTTGTAGCATGAGATCTCTTATTATTATTCACCCACAAAATTCCGAGTGAACGAACGCGGAACCTGCAAATCTTAAGACAAGAACTTAACATATGAGTCACGCAGTCAGAATCCAATGATTCGTATTTTCAATACTAATTAATCCCAATCTAGCACAACGACCATAAAATGAAATTGGTAACTACTGTCTGTACCGACATGAATGACCTCAACTGGCTACAGTTCCTCATGAGAACTCCCTCAAAATAATGGTCACACTGGTCAATAACGAGGAGTTAGGGTTTTGATTTACTAATAGGATGTGAATACGGTAAAACTGGGAATGAATTATTACTTACTTGAAAATAGTATATTGAGACGACGTTATACAAATGTTATAAAGATAGTTAGTCTCTGAAAATCTGTCTATTAAATTTCTCAGGGAGGTTAAGAAGAGCCTAAATGCTTAGTTGGTTCTTTACGTGATATTATTCAAAAACTTGTACATCCTTAAAGATATTGACTTTCCATCTTGAAAACATCGTGCATATATATACATATATTCCTCGTCCAATTCAAGTACTTATCATAACTCCCTTTCTGTCAGACAAAAATGAACTAAAGACACGTGATAGGTAGGGTAAGCAATGTACACTCATATGCTCATATAGAAACAGTCAAGGTTAATAAGCGACTCCACTATATCAAGTGGAATCTAGGAACATAGGTTTCGTGAGGGAACGCCTAATATTTAGATCGCTAAATTTCAATCTATTAATGTAAGTGTCTGACTTCAATTAATTCACGATATTGAGAAACCATTTTCCATTACGTACTATGGATAACTGTCTTGCACACGATACGGTCGAATCCAACTTCTCACTAGAATTACTGGAACGGCATGTTGAAGTTAGTCACTAACGAACACATAATTACTATTTACTTTCATGTAAGGATAAAACCTAAGTGAAAAAAAAAGTTGAGAAGAACGCCTTTAACATTATTCCACAATTTCTGAAGTAGAATAAAGTATCAGCTATTAAGCAATAAAAGATGTTCATTTTTAATGTTAAAATAATTTATTCTAAGGGATTACAAGTGAAGAATATATAATATGGTCAAAGTAAATCTCAATTACTAATATGAAATAACGCGAGGATGTGTACAATACCAATGCTGATAATTTGTGGTGGTGTAATACATGAATATTTAGACAATCTATATACAGAATAGAATCAGTCATTTATTCATGATTAATGTAAAATTATTATTACATTTACAATAAATTCAACTTTATTATCACTTACTTGTGAATTATTTGTTACATTAGTAAATTTAATATAATCTAAATGTTCAGTTGAATGTGAATTCGATGTGAGTTCAATTTTTGAGTCAGAAGCTAATTTAAAAAAAAAAAACAATTAAATAAATAAGGATGCAACAACCACAACCACAATAGTAAGAACATAATATTCATACTGGGAGAATAAAATATACATATATATAACAACTGACATTGTAATGTCAAATGTTTGTAATTATACAAGATGAAAATATGAAATTTGATATGATAATAATCAACAATTGAAAACAACATATATCTGAAAGTTTCTTTTCAAAAAAATTACACATGGATGTGTTTCGTTTTAATTTATAATTAATTAATTTCTTAATAAAAGAAACATTATCAAAAGACTACAGTGAGAACGCAATTTAAACTCTGCGGGATAAAAAATCAGTAACAGAAGTGTTAGATATTAACACTGTTGGGCCCCCAAATGCCCTGGTACGGCCGAGAGTGGGGAGAGTCCGCTCTCCCTCTCGAAATGCTCTCACATGGCCATGCGTACATAGCCCCTGCCAGGGAAGTCCTACTCACTGCCTTCTCGTGGCGGGGGTGTTGTTTACGAAAATGAGAGGACGAAAAGCGAATGTCCGGCGCTTTAACCGGATCCAAAACCAATGGTGCACATGGGCTCCAGTATCCTGAGGGAACAAATGGCGTATGAACCAATCGTTGGTCACCGGCTACCATGGGACTGCATCTCCTCACGATGCTCCACTGCCTTGTGGGTCAGACGTTCAGGTCAAAGGCTCGGGGTGTGGCCCCCTAAGACAACCACCTGCTTCGGTTTGGGCACCCGTGCAGTATCACAGCCCTCACACAAATCAATTGAGCTTTGTGTGGCGCATATGTATTTTGGTGCCTCCCTGTACCTATACTTATGTGTTAAAATAAATAAATAAAATACTGTTGGATGCTGGCTCAGTGGTCTAGAGGTTAAGCGTTCGCACACGAGACTGATAGGTCCTGGGTTCGAATCTCGCTAGGCGGAATCGTGGATGCGCATTGCTGAAGTGTCCCATACTGGAATAAAACGGCCGTCGAGTGTGTCCAGGTTTTCAGTGGTGGTCTAGCTTCAATCGACTCATGAATTTAATTATTAAACTACTACAACCTCCACAAAAACCACTCTCTGATTGTAACCAATGATGCTTAACCTATAAGAGTTACATCGCTTTTAGGTGATTAGTAATGTAATGAATACTATAAACGGAGTGATATTATGTTTTGTAATCTGTTTTGATATTAGATGTTTTTAGTCAGTGGACAGAAAAACATGAAATTTATTACTGTATAGGTTAATATATAATCAATGATTCACGCAAAGTTAGCTAAACAATTTCAGTGAACAAGTAATGATTTCAGTTTCAAAAATTTAATCCTGAATTATTAAATTTGTAGTTTGTTGAGTTTCATTCAGATATTTTTTGCATTATATTTTCTGTAAACTACGTGACAAATTTTTATGGTTCAGACCACGAACTGATCTTCGTTAAACGACTATTGAAAACCTGAAGGCACTGGACAGATGTTATGTGCTAGTATAAGACTCCTCAGCGATATACACATCTGAGAATCGAACCTGGAGCCCCTATTCTCACGCACGAACGTCTAACTTCTAGATCACTGAGCTAGCATCCAACGGTGTCTATGTCTAGCTTTAACGATTTGCTAAATTGTGAAGTTATGTATATATTTTGTACCAGAAGTAGTGGTATTGTAGAGTACGCTACTTATGTTGACGGATATTAGAAGTAGGTAACGCCGATGCGAAGTGGAATGTCTGTCAAAAGAAGGTTGAGAAGATTGAACTGAACAGACAGGGAAACGAAAGAATTGAACATTATGAGAATTATAAGGTAAGTAGAAGGAAACTGATGGAAGATGTGGAGTATTTAATGTAGGGTTCTCATAATTTACGAAAAAACTTTGCAGTTTTGAACTAAATAAATTGGTTATCCCTACCAAGTCTTCGTTCACTACAGTATGACTAGTAATAATGAAATTTCTGTTACTTCATTTTATATTCTCATTCAAAACAACGTTATATACAATCGTTCAAAAATACTGCTGAGGAATCTTGTACTAGGATAAGTGTTCAGTACTTCTGAGATTTTCCTAACCAAAAACAGTTTATGATGTGAAATTTATCAAATAATTTCATTTAATTATTGACCTAAACTTTGATAACAAATCAGAGTGATACAATTTAGCTAAAAACCTATGCGCATACTGTCAACAGAATCTAAGACAGTTTACTAAGATACTTTTTATTAAACATAATAGTGTGCAAATAATACGGGATTTCATAAAGACGAATAGTTTCGATTTAAACGGTCACCAAAGTAAATACACATCTATGAATTTGTTGCTTTAGTTTTGTCGCAAACCCTTCATCGTGATTTGTATTTTAAACTTAACCTTGACTATACATACGTCCTATTCTACATGATATTCTTACTAATAATAGTTAATATCATTAATGATAATGATATTGTTATTATTATTACTATTATAATCACAACTACAGTAAAACAATTCCTACTTTTTATTAACATGTTTCTACATAGAATTTTAATCTATTGATCACAAGTGATCACCCGAAAGCACATAATTGTTTTAACTGTTATGTATGGTCTCATCTTAGCGTTTCTAGTGACTTCATTTTATTGAATATTTCGTAATATTTAAGACTAAATCGTTGTGAACTTTACCAGTTTCAATTTAGAACATGGATTAATTCTACTTTATTATTTTGTCAATTGTAACATAATAATAATAATAATTTTGATGCATAACAGTAGAGCCACTTGAAGAAGTTATCGATAGCTATCTCTTGCTTTAATGCTGTTTGGTCTCAAATATTCTATAGGAACTTTTAAATTGCTAAAATATTATTGTTCTGTGATAAATTGTTTGAATTTATGACATTTTTTTTATGGAAATTGCGTAAGTAGGCCCAGTATATGGGAAAAACAATGACAGCAAACAATCAATATTAGTGCTATAATTATTAAGACCAAAGAAACTAAACAAGACGAATAGCTGTAAAGAAATAAACTAACAGTGACAAACTAAGTTTAGGTCAGAACTACCTAAACATAATGTGTTAAAAAAATAAAAAACCAATGAAAAAACAAATAAACATTTATGAATATAAACGTAATACTAGAGAAGAATATGTAGCCAGATAATATGTATGATGAGACTCTTCTGTTTTGAATTCTATCTACATACTCGAGTTATTTTTAATCAAGAAAAGTGAGAAAACTTTCAAATAGCCAAAGGTAATAGTTCGCATACATATACTATCTGCTGAATCACTTTTTGAAAATGGTTAGTTGTTTGAAAAAAAATATATCCTTAGAAAATACAACTCTTAAAATCTAACTAGCTAGCTCTATGAGAATAGCGAGAGAATGATCGATAGTGTTGATTATTTGCAGATAGGTAGTTCGCACACATTCCAGTCAGTGACCTATAAGGCGATTCAGGACAAATTTGTATATATAATATGAGATATCAGTCGATTCCATGATTACAAAATTACATAACAAATCACGAAAAATTTGACATCTGCAAAAACTTAGATTAAATAATATCACTCATTTTATTGATGATATATATATATATATATATATATATATATATATATATATATATATAACAAAGTATTATGAGTTATATAAAGAGATCGAAAGTTACGTTCTTCAATTTTCCGAAAATTTTAGCAACTGTCTAGATATGAGCAGTTTACCTACTAACTAACGTATCTTACCCCTAGTGGACTCTAACCAAGTGGTTTGCATCTACCTAGACGGCTCAGTCCATCTGTTATTGATTTCATGGACTGATGTTACGTCTTTGTTTGGCCGCTCCTAACTATCTTTTAACCTCCTATATAAGCAAATATCTGATGTCTTAACAGGAGACGTTTGAGCTTAAGTAATGAATATTCTAGTTAGTCAATGAGGCTTCACTACCCCATCGACTGATACTCTATCTTTATAAACTACTCTGTATATGGCCTTAACATCCCTCATCCGGTGGTCTCAACATGGACCACCAATGCTCCAAAGACATCTATAAGCTAAGTACTACTAATCTCCTCTATTTCTAAAGGTAAAAAAAATGAACTGCTGCGCAGTATATTCATAATCTATTTGAAAGATCGACATCTTGCCTATGCCATAGATGAAAGGAGTTGAAAAAAGCCGATCGAGCTTTTTGAATCTGTACCAAGATAGAATTAGACACCTGCCCACCAAGACTGATAATCTGACCAGGATAATACTGTAAATGCATTGTCAATGCGTTATCTCTGAAAGACTTTCATAAAAAAGTTAGCTAAGAGTGAAAAAGTGGGGGGTTCTGAGAAGTACCATTAAATGTTATCAAATTTGGTGGCAGTTCGCCATAAGATTTGATTCAATCCTTCGTGTTCATGTGTAGAACCTTCATAGAGTTTATATACTTCTTTACTATGCGTTTTAGTGTTAGATGCTACCACAAAACCTGCCGATCGACAGACACGAATACTGCCTTAACGTCGAAAAATACAAGTATTGTTAGGTGTGGGTTTGTTTTAGCTAAAAAACCTAAGAAAGGGTTTTTTTTATTATTGAAAACGATATAACTAATAGTAATCACCGAGACTCCTTAGTTTGCTTCTTTTCTATTCAAAGTTTTCAACAGCATATTTATATAAAATGAACAAAAGAGCCAATTCTATTTAAATAACTAAGCAGAGAATTTTCATTAATAAGATCAACTAATGTTTGGCAATAAAACGTCGTTCAGATGTGGTCAAATTCAAAGATTTATTGTAATTATTACGAAATAAAAACAAATTTCTACGATATAATAGTTATTATTGACATTTTTAACAGCTCATTTAAACCAATACATTCTGCTTTCACTAAGTTTGCAGTTGTTAAAGTTCATTTTTCTATTTGATAGTGAGATACCATTATTTTCTTATTTTATAAATATTACGATGAATAAATAATTTTACTGTTCAATGGGTTCAATATAACATAATCTATTCAAGTGCTATTTTCTATGTTCATTTACATGAAATATTTCTTAATTAGAATAGAGCGAAATAATATAATTCTAGTTGGTTTTCATATTTTCATTGTCGTTATTATTATTATTATTATTATTATTATTATTATTATTATTTAAGATATACTTAATATTGAAATCTTCAAATTAATTACTCTTAGATTCGTTCCTTTTTTTCTTAAAAAAAATGTCTATCTGATTAATAACACTGTAAATGAAACTAGGTCATTCACAAGTATCATTAGTTGTGCCAAATATTCATGTTAGAATAAGACCTATATTGCCTAATTATGCCTGTTACCCCTCGTGGAGGAGCATAGGCCATCCACCAACATTCTCCATCCAACCCTGTTCTCGGCAATCCTTTCCAGTTGTTATTCATTCTATTCATGTCTGCTTCCGATTCCCGACACAATGTGTTTTAGCCTTCCTCTTTTCTATTCCCCTTCAGGATTCCAGTTTAGTGATTTCATCGTGATGCGATTTGACGACTTCCGCAATTTATGTTTCATCCACTCCCATAATCTTTTCCCAATTTCCTCTTCAGCTGAAAGCTGGTTTGTTCTCTCTCACAGTAAGCTGTTGCTGATGGTTTCCGATCAACGAATATTGAGTGTCTTACGTATACAATTGTTTATAAATACTTGTACATTTCTGATGATGGTTGTAGCAGTTCTCCAAGTTTCAGCTCTGTACAGTAGGACTACCTCAACGTTCGTATTGAAGACTCTTACTTTAACACTGGTTGACAGTTGTTTCGAATTCCATATGTCCTTCAAATGTAGGAATGCTTTCCTCACTTTGCCGATCCTCGTCTTTACGTCTGCATCAGATCCTCCTTGTTCATCGATGATGCTTCCCAGATACGTGAAAGTTTCCAGCTCTTCCACGGTTTCTCCATCAAGTGTGATTGGATTGGCGTTCTCTGTGTTGTATTTGAAGATCTTGCTTCTTCCCTTGTGTATGTCGAGGTCTACCGATGCAGAGGCTGCTGTCGCTACACTGGCTGTCTTCATCTGTATTTGTTCGTGTGTATGTGACAGAAGGACTAGGTCATCTGCGAAATCCGAATCTTCTAATTGATTCCGAGCTATCCATGGTATTCCGTGCTTCCCGTCAGATGTCGAGGTCTTCATAATCCATCAACCACCAGAGGAAAGAGAAAGGGGGAGGGTAAGCAATCTTTCCTAACTCCGGTCCTCACTTGAAATGAGTCTGTCAGCTATCCTCCATGAAACACTTTGCAGTGTAGTCCATCGTATTAATTCCTGAGGTTGTTCACAATCTTCTCAGACACACCACAGTGTCAAAGAAGTTTCCATAATCTCCTCCTATCCACATTGTCAAATGCATTCTCATAGTCAATGAAGTTGATATATGGTGACGAGTTCCATTCAACTGATTGTTCAATGATGATCCATTGTGTGGCAATTCGATCTGTGCACAACCGATCCTTACAAAATCCAGTCCGTTGATCTCGAAGTTGGGCGTCTATCGAGTCTTTCATTCAGTTCAGCAACACTCTGTTGAAATCTTTTTCTGGTACTGAGAGTAGTGTGATGTCTCCGTAGTTCTCACATTTGCTCAAATCTCCTTTCTTTGGAATCTTGATGAGGTGTTCTTCTTTCCAATGCGTCGGCACTTTTTCTTCCTCCCAAATCCTCCTGAATAGGACGTGAAGCATACTTGCAGTTACGGCTATGTTTGACTTTAGTGCTTCGGCTGGTATACTGTAAGGTCCTACTGCTTTTCCGCTCTCGATTTGTCTGATGGCCATCCTGATTTCTCCAGTCGTTGGTGGAGTGACATCTATAGCAAGATCAGTGTGTGCTGCTTCGATGTCCGGTAGATTCAATGGAGCTGGTCTATTCAATATTTCATCGAATCATTCTACCCATTTGTTCCTCTGTCCTCGAATCTCGGTGACTGGCTTGCCTTCTTTATCCTTGACCAGTCTCTCTGGTTTACTATATTTCCCTGCTAGTTTCTTCGTTGTGCCATATAGCTGTCTCATATTTCCTTCTCTTGAAGCTTTTTCCACTATCGTTGTTAGCTCTTCCACGTATTTCTGCTAGTCGACTCAAATGCTCCTCTTCACTTGCTTATTTCCCTCTGTATGTTCAGCTTGTGCCTTGGTTTTCGCTGTTCTTGTTCGGCTGTTGTTAGTCGCTGTCTTCTTGTTCTTCCTTTCATGAATCTTGCGCAGGATTTCGATAGAGATCCATTCCTTATGATTATGCTTCTTGCAGAACAGAACCTTCTTGGTGCTTCTCTATGATCGATTTCAACTTCTCATAGAATTGATCTTTATTGTCGTCGTTGCTATTATTGTTTGTTGCATAACATTCATTCTGATTCCTTCTTTATTTGTTTTGAATGATGATTTGATGATCCTGGGTCCAAGAGATTCCCATCCTATAACTGCATTTCGTTCTTTGTTGGGAGTGTGGAGCATCTTTCTCTTCGTGACCAGAATACAACAGCATCTCTCCCGTATCTAGCCTTTTCTGTTCAGCTTGGGTCCAATGGGTTTCAGGGATTTCGAGAAGCGCCAATTTGTATCTCCTCATTTTCGTTGCTATTTGACTGATCCTCCCGGTTTTGTTTATTGTGGTTAGTGTTTTTCTTAACAAGGTTGTTCTCTACGGTATGGGATTGCCGATTACACGTCCAACCCTCCTCCCTTGTGTGGGCTTGAGACCGGCAGTAGCTCTAGAAGAGCTACAGGTGGAGTTATGATTAGTTCAGACATAAAAAAATGTCTACAAAGTATAATTCAACTTACGAATACTGAAAGATGCCAGGTGTATACTACCGTCAGTCGGGGACTGACTGACTAACTGTACACTATTATCATTTGGTAAAGATACCATTCGTCGATGCAACTTTGGAGAATGTGAAAATTGTTGTGAATTTCGTTGTTTAATATTATTCTGATTTACATCGTGGTTTTCTGAATGAGAATTGTATGAACGTGGAATCATGCCATTTGATAAGTCATTATTCAACATTGTTTGAGATTGAGTCATTTGACTTGTTTGATGTGAAGGGTTACAATCAACTGAAGTAGTGGATAAGAGAATTTCTTCAATTGCTATAATTTAACAATAAACAATTAAATAATTATTTTTACGATATCATATACAAGTAGTGCAGATATTTCTGCGAAATAAAATAGTATTTTTTCTAATAGTTAGTGTAAACACCAGAATAACTAGTGAACTGATGAATTACAATAACAGTCATATTGATTCATGAATTCACATACATTTGCTTGATTGCGTTACAGTTTCTAAAAGAGAATACATTTCAATGAGAATAGACAAGAAACTTGATGATCGGTAACATGAAAGCAACCAAAATTTAACATAAGGTTGGGTAACAAATGACCCACAAGGATAGACTCAAAGTACGCTACTTACAGACACAGGCTTATGAAGGCAATATGTCGGAAAGTTTACATTTTGCTCTTACTCAGTGTAGCAAATCATGATATTTTATTCAGAAAAATGTTAGTTTATTATCAGCGTGATATTCAACATTGATTTCATCATTAGTGTAACATTTAGTCAATATCATAGTGAGTCTATATTTTCCAGTGTAACATAATTTCAGGCTAATATGTTTCGTAATCATCAAGTGTACATTTTGATCAGTATGACAGGTGTAAACATCCTTCCAGTGTGACAATTATATTTTTCTTATCATTCTGTACGGATTCCGGATGTTTTACAGTGAACTTGTGCATCTCTTCACATATGTGATGTTCACTATCGAGTCATCAAGTGAGATGACAGAGAAGATTTGTAGCTCAGGTAAATGATCTCGATGGAGTCTTGTTCTCTGAGTTGGATGGTTTGGTTGTGGAGCTTTTATCGTTATTTTGAACGACATCATCAGCACAAACTTCAGGTAGAACTGAAGTCATAATGCAAGCTCCATGACAAAACCATCCAGCTCAGAGAACCAAACTCCATTAGAATCATCAAGTGTATGCAAAATCAGTGTATGAATGAATGTATTTGGTTTAGTGATGACGTGATTTTGGACGACTTGTGTGGAAGATGTGTTTTTGGAGAGTCAATAAACTTTCACTCGTACCAGTCCTTATGTTATCACTTTGTTATGAGAATCGTAATGATTCCTGTTTTCAAGTATTAGCAATAAGACAGAAGCATTTCGATTATTTGCTAGAAACGTCTTTCAAGACTTATTGCAATGTCAAATTTATTGATACGAATTAGTGGAGGCGTTCATTGTTTCATACTGTTTTGTGAAGAACACTATAGAACCAGAAACAAAAATAATTATTTTTCGAGAAAGTAGATGAATGTATAGAATTACGGTGATATCGATCCAAATTTTAATTGTAATAACTGAATATAATGAAATAATCTTGCGAAAATGATATAATTGTTGAATAAAAGATTAGTGTACTCTTTACAAATATCTAACTGTAGAAACACGGGTTTAATAAATGTTAAGAAATATATAATAATTGAAATCATGATTTGACTTTTTTCAAGACAGTATTAATATACATATTCATTTTTAGTATTCGCAAACAATATAACTTCGTGCTAGTGCTTTAATGAGATTTATTCTAGGCTGTCCTACGTGCAACTGTTCAAGCACTGCTGGTTGTAGCTTCTTTGGGATTGACATGTTCAGCAAACAGAAGGCAGTCGTCGATGATTAAGTCTACGCTGGTAAAACTGTTGAAGATCTGTAGAGCTGATTTCCGAAGGCCACCCTTCAAATGGAACTTTTTAACTTCTTGAAGGATTGGGTCTCGAAGAGTTTCTTCTCTAATTATGTTCATAACCAAACAATCTCAAATTGAGTTGCGCCTCGAATGTCCACCACATTTATCTTGTTTGGTTTTGGATTGTAGCCTAAGTTTTTTTACGGGTGAATTACCAACCGATAAAACAAGATTATCTATATACATCATAGCGATTGGTATTCATTCTATTAATTTGATGTACCGAGCAGAACTACGTACGTTTATACATCTCAATCGATGTACTATGAATTTCATGACAGAGGAAAACTAAAGACAAGATGTTTGTAGGACTTTTTTCCACAGTTACTTTATTCAATCACTTTCTATAGTGCCCTTTAACCAGTCTGTGTGAAGCTACAGTTGAAATGAATACAGAATGGCTTTCGAATCGATTTTTTAAATAGAATTGTGATTAGTAGAGGAATGACATTTAGGGAAAAAACAAAAAAACATGCCGAATATCAGATGCAGAAAATAAATTACGGAACAAGAAACCGGTAAATATTGAAACATCTTGTCGACCATAATCATAGTGTCCCACCAGATATATCTTTTAAGATCATCTAAACAGACAAACAATTGAGTTTGAAGTGAGCGCAAATCAATAATCTGTGTATTACAGAGGCGTTAGAAATCCCTTTTAAACCATAATTGTGTGAAAAAAGCGACAGATTCAAGCTCTGATCCTACCCACAGCCCCAACACTTGATTTTTGTATATAAGTTAGCTGTGAGTACTTTTCCGTAGCGTTCTTATCTTTTTGATGATTCGTTATTAATACTACGTAATTTTACTTTACTTTGTCTTCCTCATTGTTATGTTCCGATAAGAATAATGAATGGTAACTTTTGGGATCCATTTATGGACCATTACTATGAGTATATTTTTATCGCATAATTGTTATGTAACTAAACTGTTCATATTCATGCCCCTTTTATTATGAGTTTTATTTTGGCCTATGGACTATTGTTATACAATTTACCATTCTTGAGTTATGGCCTGTCTATCAATTACTATCTCCCACATTCACAGCCACATTTGGCTAATTCTTGTACAAATGTTGTTTCATATTTTGTGATACTGTATGGTCTGTCTGATTGGTATATAAACCCAGTATGTTTGAAATAAATCATTCGTATTACAGAGGCTGAGATTGGTGTTCTGGACTTAACTCGATGGGCTAGACAGGAAGTGAGACCAATAAGGACTCTAGACTGCCCGCACGTGTTTTATGCGTCACTGGTTTGATCGATAATTCACTGCTCTCTGATTGGCGGTATCGATGAGTTATACAATAAACAGGGCACACAGGTCCACAGTTATAACAATTTGTTTGTCTGTTTTTAAACCAATGTACTATGTTGAATTTAAAAGAAATTACATATCGACAATCTCGTTATTCATCAATAGTGTTCTCTTTTGGAGCTGTGCAATGAACAAAGTGTTCATTGTTTAGTTAACACGGCTTGAAATATCCACCAACCTACTTCCGTTCGACGAGATAGGTTGTAAATATGGCTCTCGAGCCGTGTATTTATAACTGAAATTTAACCACTTATAATCACACTTGATCACTAAGTTGGATAATTGATTTTACATAATTATTCAATGGGTTCTAGTTTGTTACGCACTTCTAGCATGACGAAAGATACTTGTATCCCGTCAAACTTGAAATGAGAAGAAAATCTCAACCAACCGTAACAGGGATTTCTACTAAGAGGATAGTAGTGATAAACTGATTACGGAAATAAAGACATTGTCACAAAATCAAGTTGCTTCAAACTGTTACAATGAAAACAACATTATAGGAAGAAATCAATGGAAAGTGGTTTGATAAGAAATGAAAATATTGGGAAACAGATAAAACTAGAGTAATAAGTGACTTGATGCCCAAGGAAAGATAAGGCATTAAAGAATACACGCAAACCGAATTTAGCATCTCGGATTATATCTTTTAGGCATTTGCCGATGATTTATACACTATTATCAACCACGAGTTGTGAAGTTCTCAAACTTGATTGAACAGCCGAGAATATGATATGATCTATTGGCAAATTCTCTGTAAAGACACTCTAACTTCGTTTCATCCAGTCAGTCAGTAATACGAAAAGTAGAATCTGGCATATGTGCATAACGGTTCAAGTTGTCACACTCTATTAGCATAGTAAGACAGAATTTTCAGGGCGGATCCTAAAGTAGTAGAGGTAGTAACAGTATGATGAAACAGAAAAGATTAAGTATAAAAAATACAATTCAAGGAAATAGATATTAGTGAAATATAAAAATTTATGAGGAATTTAGAAAGTTAAGAAGTAGTTAGAGACAAAAACTAAAGCAATCGAGACAATGTGAACGATTTCCAGCCATGTAATTTAAAGCTTTCTCGGTTGCTGAGTATTGATACTCAATGGTTACTTGAATCTTCCGATTGATGTTTGGAATTGCGATTCATTAACCCTCTTATGGAATATTTCCATCCTCTTCTAGTCACCATCAATCTCTGCTAAAAAAATTTAATTATTTTAAAAAAAATAATACTAGTAGCTTTTATTTCAAGTTAGATGCATTTTTACTATTACTAGTAATATAATTAAATAAATGAATGAATACTCATTAGTGTGTTAACGGTGTAAAGATTCTAAAAATTCTAAATAACATGAAACTTTTTACAGAAAAAACAATGACAATACAAGGTAAAAAGTTAAAAGACAAGATAAGTGAAATAAAGGAAATAGAAATTATATATTGTTTTCGTACACAAACGTTAGGTTTAAAATAAAGATTCTTTTCATTGTGGATCAACATTAGTCATGTAACACTGACAAGTACTATGGAGCATTTTTTTATTATGCTCACTTATGAATAGCTTCGAGAACTCTCAGAGTTCAAGTCAAAGCCATGTTTAGTGGAGTTCAAATAGACCTACAAATGGGATAGATATCATTGACGAAATTAGATGACGGTGTAGCAAACTGTAAGCCAACTGGGCTTATAAATTTGAATAAACGGATTATGATCTAAGGATTTGAATCTCCTAAGGTTTGATCCCCCCGGAGGGTTGGTTGTGAACCTCTAAGCAAGTATTCATCAATATAGTTCCCCGCTCAGTCTTCGTTTCGTATTTTAACTAAATTATCCAAACGTTTAGAAGAATGTATACAGTCGCTGAACTGCAACTCATATCACAACAAAAGAGTATAATACTATACATCTAAGTCATTGTATCATATCTTCTCTATGACAAAACGATAACAAACTTTATCCACTCAGAATAAAAATAAAAGGATATATATAGTGTAGTTTTGGTAAACAGAGCAACTTACATTCACGTGCGATATCTGCTAAATGAGGAACTACTTCTGGAGCTGTACCATTAAATACAGATAGATTACGTTTTTCAGCACATTCTAGGTCTATACAACCTTCTGTACAATCCACAGTCCCAGGAGGACATCGACTGACACCTAATGCATCCAAAGTGTACAGGGCTAAATCTCTTTACAGCAAAAAAATCAAGTTGGAATAAAAACATTTGATCAGTAGTATTAAACAAGATCCCAAAATTTGTGAGTTAATATAATTGTTTTAGAAATTAACAGATACCAAATAATCAGAAATAACTTACTATTACAAACAATAACTCATGTCTATTTACAATATGATCTTTGTCACGAACTGATATCAGTTGATGAACCATTACAGAAACAAAGAGCTATGAACACGTGTTCAATTTTAGTTTGTGGACTGACACCTCAACGATAAGCATCCATAAGCTAGACAGGAAACAAAACCAAAAATTCACGCCTCGAACTTACTTAAATTCAGGTCATTGAGTCAGAATCCAATAGTTTACAGTTTTAACTTACGATATTACGAGAACAACCATTCCCGTAAACGATATATGGTACACTTTCAGCCTGTTTGAAAATTATATATTAAAGCTTGTCATTGCAGCTTAGGGGACATTTCTCGAAACTAAACATATCTATTTACAAGAATTGTATGAAGACAAATTGTCTAACATGGTTGTGAGCGTCCTTAAGTGTGACCAATTAATAAATACCAGAAACACATGAATGACAATAGAATACTTCATTGATGACAAATTACCTACGTTTGGACTATCGTAAATAAGGGTTGATTAAAGACTGTAATATATTAAAATAATCCCAAAAGGTAGAGAACAACCTTGTTAAGAAAAACACTAACCACAATAAACAAAACCGGGAGGATCAGTCAAATAGCAACGAAAATGAGGAGATACAAATTGGCGCTTCTCGAAATCCGTGAAACCCATTGGACCCAAGCTGAACAGAAAAGGCTAGATACGGGAGAGATGCTGTTGTATTCTGGTCACGAAGAGAAAGATGCTCCACACTCCCAACAAAGAACGAAATGCAGTTATAGGATGGGAATCTCTTGGACCCAGGATCATCAAATCATCATTCAAAACAAATAAAGAAGGAATCAGAATGAATGTTATGCAACAAACAATAATAGCAACGACGACAATAAAGATCAATTCTATGAGAAGTTGAAATCGATCATAGAGAAGCACCAAGAAGGTTCTGTTCTGCAAGAAGCATAATCATAAGGAATGGATCTCTATCGAAATCCTGCGCAAGATTCATGAAAGGAAGAACAAGAAGACAGCGACTAACAACAGCCGAACAAGAACAGCGAAAACCAAGGCACAAGCTGAACATACAGAGGGAAATAAGCAAGTGAAGAGGAGCATTTGAGTCGACTAGCAGAAATACGTGGAAGAGCTAACAACGATAGTGGAAAAAGCTTCAAGAGAAGGAAATATGAGACAGCTATATGGCACAACGAAGAAACTAGCAGGGAAATATAGTAAACCAGAGAGACTGGTCAAGGATAAAGAAGGCAAGCCAGTCACCGAGATTCAAGGACAGAGGAACAAATGGGTAGAATGATTCGATGAAATATTGAATAGACCAGCTCCATTGAATCTACCGGACATCGAAGCAGCACACACTGATCTTGCTATAGATGTCACTCCACCAACGACTGGAGAAATCAGGATGGCCATCAGACAAATCGAGAGCGGAAAAGCAGTAGGACCTTACAGTATACCAGCCGAAGCACTAAAGTCAAACATAGCCGTAACTGCAAGTATGCTTCACGTCCTATTCAGGAGGATTTGGGAGGAAGAAAAAGTGCCGACGCATTGGAAAGAAGAACACCTCATCAAGATTCCAAAGAAAGGAGATTTGAGCAAATGTGAGAACTACGGAGACATCACACTACTCTCAGTACCAGAAAAAGATTTCAACAGAGTGTTGCTGAACTGAATGAAAGACTCGATAGACGCCCAACTTCGAGATCAACGGACTGGATTTTGTAAGGATCGGTTGTGCACAGATCGAATTGCCACACAATGGATCATCATTGAACAATCAGTTGAATGGAACTCGTCACCATATATCAACTTCATTGACTATGAGAATGCATTTGACAATGTGGATAGGAGGAGATTATGGAAACTTCTTTGACACTGTGGTGTGTCTGAGAAGATTGTGAACAACCTCAGGAATTAATACGATGGACTACACTGCAAAGTGTTTCATGGAGGATAGCTGACAGACTCATTTCAAGTGAGGACCGGAGTTAGGAAAGATTGCTTACCCTCCCCCTTTCTCTTTCCTCTGGTGGTTGATGGATTATGAAGACCTCGACATCTGACGGGAAGCACGGAATACCATGGATAGCTCGGAATCAATTAGAAGATTCGGATTTCGCAGATGACCTAGTCCTTCTGTCACATACACACGAACAAATACAGATGAAGACAGCCAGTGTAGCGACAGCAGCCTCTGCATCGGTAGACCTCGACATACACAAGGGAAGAAGCAAGATCTTCAAATACAACACAGAGAACGCCAATCCAATCACACTTGATGGAGAAACCGTGGAAGAGCTGGAAACTTTCACGTATCTGGGAAGCATCATCGATGAACAAGGAGGATCTGATGCAGACGTAAAGACGAGGATCGGCAAAGTGAGGAAAGCATTCCTACATTTGAAGGACATATGGAATTCGAAACAACTGTCAACCAGTGTTAAAGTAAGAGTCTTCAATACGAACGTTGAGGTAGTCCTACTGTACAGAGCTGAAACTTGGAGAACTGCTACAACCATCATCAGAAATGTACAAGTATTTATAAACAATTGTATACGTAAGACACTCAATATTCGTTGATCGGAAACCATCAGCAACAGCTTACTGTGAGAGAGAACAAACCAGCTTTCAGCTGAAGAGGAAATTGGGAAAAGATTATGGGAGTGGATGAAACATAAATTGCGGAAGTCGTCAAATCGCATCACGATGAAATCACTAAACTGGAATCCTGAAGGGGAATAGAAAAGAGGAAGGCTAAAACACATTGTGTCGGGAATCGGAAGCAGACATGAATAGAATGAATAACAACTGGAAAGGATTGCCGAGAACAGGGTTGGATGGAGAATGTTGGTGGATGGCCTATGCTCCTCCACGAGGGGTAACAGGCATAATTAGGCAATATAGGTCTTATTCTAACATGAATATTTGGCACAACTAATGATACTTGTGAATGACCTAGTTTCATTTACAGTGTTATTAATCAGATAGACATTTTTTTTAAGAAAAAAAGGAACGAATCTAAGAGTAATTAATTTGAAGATTTCAATATTAAGTATATCTTAAATAATAATAATAATAATAATAATAATAATAATAATAATAATAATAACGACAATGAAAATATGAAAACCAACTAGAATTATATTATTTCGCTCTATTCTAATTAAGAAATATTTCATGTAAATGAACATAGAAAATAGCACTTGAATAGATTATGTTATATTGAACCCATTGAACAGTAAAATTATTTATTCATCGTAATATTTATAAAGTCTTTCAGAGATAACGCATTGACAATGCATTTACAGTATTATCCTGGTCAGATTATCAGTCTTGGTGGGCAGGTGTCTAATTCTATCTTGGTACAGATTCAAAAAGCTCGATCGGCTTTTTTCAACTCCTTTCATCTATGGCATAGGCAAGATGTCGATCTTTCAAATAGATTATGAATATACTGCGCAGCAGTTCATTTTTTTTACCTTTAGAAATAGAGGAGATTAGTAGTACTTAGCTTATAGATGTCTTTGGAGCATTGGTGGTCCATGTTGAGACCACCGGATGAGGGATGTTAAGACCATATACAGAGTAGTTTATAAAGATAGAGTATCAGTCGATGGGGTAGTGAAGCCTCATTGACTAACTAGAATATTCATTACTTAAGCTCAAACGTCTCCTGTTAAGACATCAGATATTTGCTTATATAGGAGGTTAAAAGATAGTTAGGAGCGGCCAAACAAAGACGTAACATCAGTCCATGAAATCAATAACAGATGGACTGAGCCGTCTAGGTAGATGCAAACCACTTGGTTGGAGTTTCCATGATTGTAGTAACCAATGCTCATAGACGTCGAATGAAATGGCCGAGAATCGTTTATATTAAAATACCCAAAATTTTTACTCTAGAAATTCATTCTCGAACCATATAGTTTATACTTAGTTCCCTTTATTACTACCGATAGTTAGTACTTTTTATCGTAATAATTTTATCTCGTTGTGCTAATAAGGTACGGCAACTTTAATCGATTCACATACATACAACGTTTTAAACAGTTTGAGAATCATTGAAATAATTGATGGAACAAAAAAACTGAGGTACTATGTTTATGCGTTAACACAATGGAAAAAAAACCAATTTTTGGCACAGACTTTCACAATGAACTTGAAAATAACTACAAACTATTTTTTAAATACTAATTCACTTCTGAAGTAAATCATAGTGACCCAAATAACCTGATATCTGCAGTTTGTATAATCAGGATACATAAATCTGAACGCTATGATAGTTATGAACAAAGAGATTGCTATCTACATAATGTTTCAATATATATGCATATTATGAACAAATTTTAAATGTTATTATAAGAGATAATATAATCAAGGACAGAAAGATACACTATACTAAAAACTAAACAATCTTCATTTAACTAATCCATTTTAAAAATACTTTCTTATTTACTTTTTAATTATTACTTATTCGATTCCAAAAGTATATATCAACTGTTCAAATCTATAGTTACGACAATGCATTCGATCAATTTTCGAGTTCTATGTGGCCAATGATTTAACCTCGCTTTAAGCACTCTAGATCTTATTGTGATCTGTAATAGAGAAATTATACAAGAATAATATCTTGTATAGTCTAATACTATCATAACATTAACTTTTTCTTAAAATATTTCGTTCATTCCCTTATTAAATATTATACAATCTAGCAACCATTTAATTACATATTTTTAACTATTTAAAACGATTACTCTGCTTATCATGATCCTTATTCTTTTAATTATTCAGTTAATCAATGGATATTACTTGCATAATCACATCGAAATTATATAATTATTATTTGGCACCATCACGGTTTTATTATTAGCTTTTCCAGACTTTAACTCATGTGTTACTCAAAAATACCATCAGTAGTACCCATATGATTCGATTTTGTGATTATCTATATACTTGCAAAACTATATCAGCTGATAAGTGAATTGTAAAATGATCAGTTTTTTATTGTACAAAATTTAAAGAATTTATGGAATTAAATATACATGAATATAAATATGTCATAAATTATTGTCGGGTTTCGAAGAATTACAAAAAAATCTTCTACTTAGTGTTTTGTCAACTAAAAAAATATTAAGAATCATTTAGAACTGATCATGTGCTTTCTACACTTCTGAGATACTCGAAGTAAATTTTGACTAGTTTTACATAGGAATTATTATTTCATGTTTAAATTGAACATTTAAGGCAAATTTTATACAATCGAGCCATATGATACAAGATTATTACGTAAAATTAATCTGAATGTATTTTTTTGGCATGAATTGTTGTTATCTAAAAGAAGAATCATTGTTAACTATAATGTATTTCTTAGATTTTTAATTTTAATTTACATGAGAAGCTATAACAAAGTTATATAATAAGACAAGGATAAAAATTAATTTTTTAATAATGATAACTAACGTATTGGTTTTCAACAGTTTTTTAGATTTTGATTTTATTTCATAATGAAAACTACTTTAAAATTGTACAACATTTTTACTAAATGATCATTTTAACATTAACTATATATTATTGTATATTGAACAAATTTAAATAATTAATTATCCATGATGAAAAAGTTTGATTACATCCAATGAATAAGCAATTGGATTATAACAATTACAAAATCATTTTTACCAGTTAACAATCAAATTATACACATTAGTACAATTAATATATAAAACAAGATTTATATTTGAAATCAGTCAGAAATTCTGCATTACATTTATTTCGAAGTAATCACTACAAGAATAAATTTAATACAAATTACATCCTATGAATGATATGAAATGTCAGGCATGTCGCTATTGCTAACATTAATGAGTTTGACTGTCGTGTAAGCGGAATGGGTCAACTTTGGCCTGTTTTTGCCGTGCATAATTGATTCTCGCGATCATTGATCGGAATAATTACACATGTGATGTGAATGTGTATATGAATGGTGCGAATGGTCCACCAGGGTGCTTGGTACCTGTGTGGTTGCGCCACAGGATTGAGCTGTACCATTCAGATTGTAGCGTTATAGCCTATACGGTGTCCGGCTCCCCTGTTAAGTGGGCTTGGGCTGTGCTGTTTGGGTTGTCGCGTGAAAGTCTGGACGGTGTCTGGTTCTCCTGAAAACCGATGTAAAATTACCCTGGCCCACAAGGGTATATTATATAACTGTGAATAAACTGGTTGATCCTGCCAGTAGTCATATGCTTGTCTCAGAGATTAAGCCATGCATGTCTAAGTACATACCTTAAAACGGTGAAACCGCGAATGGCTCATTAAATCAGCTATGGTTCCTTAGATCGTAAATGCTACATGGATAACTGTAGTAATTCTAGAGCTAATACATGCCTTGAATCCCTGACCCGCAAGGGGACGGGTGCATTTATTAGAACAGAACCAAATAGATCCCCGGTTCGCTCCCGGATTCCGGGACCAGCCCCCAAATGCCCTGGTACGGTCGAGGGCGGGGAGATTCAGCTCTCCCTTTCGAAACGCTCTCACATGGCCAAGCGTATGAGGCCACTGCCAGGGAAGTCCTAATCACTGCCTTCTCGGGAACAGGATATTGTTTACGAAATTGAGAGGACGAAAGGCAAATGTCCGGAGTATACTTACAACTTTAATAAAAGGATAGACAGAACTCTTATGGTAAGACATTGTTTGATGTAGTAAATAATTTAATATAATATAGTTCACATTCACATTATAACTGCTATCGACTAAATACAACACGATTATAATTTGAGCAAACCTTAATAAAAATGATATTTATAAAAACACGTTACTTAATTGGCCTAGTGATACACATTGTTAGCAGGATAGGATTGGATTAAAGCATGTTTCATCCAGGATTATACTGGGGCGAGTTGATCGGCTTTCTTCTAACCAATCAGGGCTAGCGAGTAATCGGGGAAAACTGTAGAAACTTCTTATGTAAAATTATGAATCTACTAATGGTTTTCTTACTGCGATTCACTCCCATTCAACTTGGTTTGTTTGGAATATAATCACGCACCTGTTCAAACTATGTTCTAATTTTGAGCACTAGTCAAGTGAAGTAATGTCCGAAAAATATTAAGCGATAAGGGTAGCTGGGGACGGCTGACAAAACATTTAGCACACATGAAACAGTATTTACTAAGGATAATTAAACAGGGAAATATACAAACAGAGGCAACACAACTTTGCAACTGTTTTCGATTCCTCAGTAACCAAGATCTATCAAGCAAAACGCAATAGGCACAAATTGATTTCATCAAGCTGTTTTCTTATATATCTGCTCTATGATGTTATTATTTTACGCGTTTATTCAAGTTGAAGCTTTAAGAAGGTGACATTCTATGAATAACTATTGATTTGTCAAAATAAAGAAAAACCTAATCAAGTTTAAATGAGGTAATTATCGTTTGATTGTACTAGATAAGAAACCAACAAAAGCCAATTATTTAATTGAGGTTGGTACTTCCGACAAGTCTTCTGACTGAACGCTTGAATGGGTTTCCTAAACCCTTCTAATAACTTCAGGCTGAATCTACACGACTTGAACACGAGAGAAAAGATGCGAATTGTGAAAAGAACGCTTTACTCCAAGGATAGTTGATGTGCGGAAAATCCAAGGTATTTATGATATTTCAGATGGCCCAAGGCTTCTGGAACCACAATAAACATAGCAGAAGGATAAGTAATTATCCGATCACAAATGTGACACGTGACTCTCGACTTTCTAAATGTTTTCGACACTGATCAGATAAAATGTTTTCTAGCGTTTTCAGCATTCCCTTGGGCTATTCTGAGTAATATTTTGTATCCCCCCAACACTTTTCCCACAAAATAAGACTTTATCTTTGGGTCTAGTTCCTATGACAACAACACAAAAAATAAATAACTAGACTGTAGCTTATGTAAATAAAACTGTTTATGGAATACAGAGCAACAACGAAATGACCTTGAGAGACCTCAGATACTTATTAGGCTGATTATAGGGTTGTGAATAAAGTAATAATTATATAAAGACGTTGTCTTAAATCTGATTGGCTCATCTATAGACTATAGTTCCGCCCCAAAACGCTTGCGTAAAACACTTTATCTGAAAAATGTGTTTAGTATAAACAAGAAAGTTGTACCACTGTCGTTTTGATAACAACTTGAAAGGATTTCGTAGGTAAACAGAAAATGTAATCACTTAAAATTTTATTACATATAATAACGTGAAAAGTGGAAAAAATGAGAAATTCTTCAGAATATATCCATGGGTATTGAATAATCTTAAAAGATGTTATTAATTAGTCGAACTTACCGATCAGGTGAAGGTACATAACTGAAAATTTATAGCAACAAAAATGAAAAAAAAGATTAGCACTAAATTCAGTATTCATGTTTTATGGCGAAAAATCTGTACTGAATGACATAAAAACACTGATTTTATTGATGACCAAATTATGATAAAGTGTAGGTATCATTACCAAGGTTTAACTTGATAATTTCGAATAAATTGAGCATTGGGTAGATTGTTATAAATAAAATAATATATCTGTAGCATCTCAGTCAGTAGAAAAATTAGATTTTCTGATGTTTCGTGACTCGATGTAAGCCACTTCTTTAGAGAACAACTGACCAAATCGAAGTTAATCCGAGTTTAAATAGTACAAAGGAACAACGCAAGATCATAATATTCTTACATTGTTCCTTTGTACTATTTAAACTCGGATTAACTTTGATTTGGTCAGTTGTACTCTGAAGACTTGGCTTACATCGAGTCACGAAACATCAGAAAATCTAATTTTTCTACTGACTGAGATGCTACAGATATATTTTTTTATGATAAAAGGGTATATAATTAAATTGTTATTACTGTGAAATCAAATAAAAAAGCACTACGAATAGACTTTGTCAATTTCACTTTGGATCTTCTTCATTAGTTCACATCTTTTTATCCCGTAAACGATAGTAGTCAAAGCACTGTGATATCATTCAATTTAATTGTGATATGGTGTGAACATTATTTAGTAACATCCACTTATGAGTTACTTGATAATGCAGGTGATCATGAACTTCTAGCAAAACTTTGAAAGATCATGAAATAATTTAATAATCATTATAAACAATTCACTATAAATAACAATCCAAATTATAAAAGACATTCTTAACAATGACAGCTCTCGGAATTTTAATTAAGATAACCAAACATAACTTTAAGAATTTGTGACAAGTAATATACAATTTTTTAATAAAAATATCCGTCATGCCTGAAAAACCAACGTTTGTTTCAAATAATCCTAATTATCAATGTGTTGATTTGTAACAATCATGCCACTTAACTATTTTCTATTTTTCCCATAAACACTATAGTGCAATCGAAAATATTACCAAGGATTAATCTAATTACCTGCATATTCATCCGTTTACTTAAATCCCTAATTTATTTAAATGGTGATAGCTTCTTTATAGGTAAAAATCCTATACTTCGCATTGACAACAAAAACATGAGAAATTTGTAAATAAGAGTATTTTCGTTTCTCAATGGAGAAGACTTATATTTCTTCAAGAAAAATGAAATCTACATTTCCAGATATTTTCAATGAATTGGAAGATAGGTATAAATATATTATAAAGTGCTTTGTGGTTTAACACATTTGAAGGGTAAATACAGATTAAGGAATTTATTATCAAGATTGCTAAATATTGCCAATAATCACATCACACTCTAAAGTTAAAGTAAGACTGAACAAATAATTTAAGAAAAAAGAATAAAAATGATCAATAAGTCAATGTAGGCTTACTTCTAGACGTAATGAAATAGAAGGTAATATAAGGAAATTCTTTTCTTTAAAATTAGTCGTCGATTGGATTTAATATAATACAGCCTAATTCAGCCAAGCCAGCTACATTTTCGTTAACCTTTGCTTAATAACTGTAGTAAACGGAGGATATATTTATTAATTTATCTCTTACTATGGAAAATCTTACCCCCGAATCCCTTGGAACGACCGAGAGTGAGAAGAGATCGCTCTACATCTCGGTTTGGGCCCCTATGCAGTATCCCAGCCCAAACTCAAACTAAAGGAATTTCGTGTGGTGCATATATATTTGGTGGCCCCGTGTATCAATGTTCATATGTTATAATAATAATAATAATAATAATAATAATAATAATAATAATAATAATAATAATAATAATAATAATAATGGAAAATACAGGCAAAAAATATCAACTAAGCACTGTGCCCGTATGCCTAAACGCCTACGTGACAAAAGATCATCAAGTTCTTTTACTTCAGTAAAATTACCCGAATTACATTTTCAGGACCTAAGCAAACGAATGCTCCAGCCAACAGCGCGATATGAAATACAAAATGTAGCTATGAAATAACAACAGCTGCATTATGATTGCGAAAATCATCAAACAGAGTAACTACAACAAACCATATTTTCAACTTGAATATAAGTTCAACGAAGAAAATGCGTATTCATTAATTTACGAAAATAACTCAGTTAATGACCAGTATATCAATTTTATGGAAAGAATTTCAATTCAAAATAATTCATGATTGAAATTACATCAAAAGCAAAAACAAGAAAACTGTTTACACAGTAACCAATATCTCTAATAGAAACAACCTTAGAAAACCATCGACGAAATGATTTCAAACTCACCTTTCAGCATTACAACATAATAAATGTCGACAACTGTGCTGATTACTGTTTAGAGCATAAGGATCCGCTTCAAATGCCAATAGTGCACGAATAATATGAATCGATGCATTATACTGAAAAAAACAAAAGTGATATTCACGCATGAATTTATGTGTATATGTATTGAAATCTCATGAAAAGCATTTAAAATGGAATAGAAGAGCATGAACCTAAATAAAACAGATGTGTATACAACGTTGTGCCTATTTACCCACACTTTTTCCCACATTATTTATTAACGTGGTAATTTTATCTAGAATTGAACAAATATTAGTGATTTCATCAATTTTGTTTATTTATAATGACCATTACTAATCAGATGTTTGACTACTGACGATCTCTATTCCTTTGTATATATAAAACCTCGGTTTTAAGGTGAGGATAATGCCTTTAAACTGTACTAGTTAAAATCCAAAAATCTTGAAACTAATAGAAAAATCCACGACTGATGAAAAACACTTCATCTGGAGCAAAGTAATGACTTGCTAACAACATTTAATGAGGATCGTGTTATCTTATAAACTGATTAAAATTGAAAATATAGAATATTGAATTCCCATTTCGTAATCTAAGAGTACGAAATACGTGATAAATCGTACGTAAAGGGTAAGTGGAAAGTCGATTAGTTGTCTGAGTACGGAACGAGAAGTAATTAGATTTGATGCACCGAAGTTGTGAGTATATCTAACAATGAAGTTATTTATATGAATACTATTAGGTATTACATTATTGTTCATAATTACGATAAAAACAATAAAGCTTACGGTCATGGCATAATGTAAAGGAGTTGCTCCACTAGCATTACGTAAATTTGGATCAGCACCACGAACTAATAAGGCCAAAACATCCTCGAAATTATTATCGCGTACTTTCATATGTAAAATAGTCAATCCTGAATCATTGCGTGCATCTAAATTAGCTCCAAGTTCACACAATCTTTCAAAGATCTATAGATCCAAAACAAAGAAGCAAATAATTTTTCCTTCCATAAAAAGGAACCAAATTTAATTAGTCAGAAGAACAATATTGATTTATTACCAAATATAATTTTTCCGCCAGATAACTGTAATAATAATAAAATAAAATACCGATCACTTTATTCACCGCAACCATTACTTTAGTCATGTAGGCAACACAAACATTAGACAATCGTTTTATTATCAATCAAAACATAATTCCATAATAGAATTGATTGTTTTCTTATAAAAACAGATAAAATACAAAATCGAAATATTATTCTTTCATTTTAAAGAAAAAAAATCAGTAAACTGATGAAAGCAGAACTCACTGACGACACTGGTGTAAATCAAAGCACTTTTAAAAACTAGGAAGCATCGGACAGTTGTTTTGTTCCAGTATGGGGACTCCTCATTCATTCATTCAAGGAATTTCCAGTGAAAAAGAAGAATATAATTCACTAAATCCAGTTTCATGTGTTGTCACTAGATCACAATCTGGCATATTTTATTATCAGTTGATTAACATTCAATTAATCATTCTAACGCTATAGAAATTGTATTTGTTAATAAGTTAAAACATCTAGTCAACAACACTTTCTTTTACTAAACGTTTTATTTTTTTATTTGAAGTATTAAGGAAGAGTGTCTATATTTGAATAGATTTACTTCTGTGATGCATCGATTTTTTTCTTTCTGAGTATCTAATGTCAACAATATATCGTATATCGTTTATGTTTATAACATTAGATGATGTACAGAATATCATGAATATTAAGATAAAACTTTATATTTAATATCTTGAATTGTATAAGCTAAACAACATAGAAAACAGAAAAACAATGCTTCTGGTTAGGGTTGTAACATATTTTTCAATATTACAGATAAGAATGTGAACTTTAAGGAAAAGTTATTCAGTCAGTTTTTATGGACATACAGCCTGACGCAGATGAGGTTTGATATAAGTTTCTACTTCAGATTACATGGCAAGATAAATATAACAAGATGAAGAGTGAAAAAAAAGGTCAAAATGACGAAAAGAAATCCTATTGAGGTTGTCCAGCAGTAAGCTATTATGAAAAGGTTAATAATATGAGGTACAAATTAAGACATTTGACTATAGAAAAGTGAATTATGGTGAAACATCAATTAGTAAACATGTCATTAAAATTGAAATAAAAACGATTCAAAATTATGCATAAAACTGAAACTATATGTCTAGAAAATGACAAATTGGATGTATTTTTTTAAAAAAAAAACCTGAGGATTTTCTTAATGGCAACATCTTTACTCTCTTAAAAGGAACAGTGAATAGTACTTTATTGAATATATATATATATATATATATATATATATATATATATATATATATATATTAACAGTTTAGGTAATAAAAAACCAATTTCATGCAACAAGAAAAGAACAATCTTATGTTTATGATGAAAAGTAGACAAATGTTAACCTACACATAATACTCATAAATTGTATACAAGGAATCATATGGAGTTAATGCTCATTTATACTGTGACCTAAACACCAGAAAAGCAACCTTAAGATGATAACACTAGCTAGATTTTTACTCTCTCTCTCTCTCCGTATATATATAATACAGAAATAAAGAGAAAAAACGTACTATATGATTTTCCTTCAAACAAAGTTTTAATATGGTATTATTGAAAGGTTTAATACTAGATTTTTTATTATGAGTAACTAACAGAAGGCTAGATGCTTAAAGCTACAAAAAATAGCTGGGTTTTTTAAGCAACACACAAATGTGTAGTTTTGTAAAGCCATCTTCATTGTGTAAAAACCAACAAATAAATGAATTACATGACTTGGTAAAATCATTATCAATATCATTGATAATGAGTAAAGTTCAATACAAAGATAACTGAATTAATAAAATAGTATTTTTAAAGGTAGACCCAGTTACAAAACAGACGAATTTTCATAGGGAAGTTAGAAAGCCTTATTTGTGTACACATTCAGTGAACTGTTACAATCCTGTTTATTATGAAATGTTTCATATATGTATTTAAAAAGTATCATTTAATATGAGAAAGTTGTTTTTCAGGACATTTAGCCATAATATTTTTAACCGCTAGACTAATAACATGTCAAAAGTTTAAAATCCGAAAAAATTCACATTAGTGATTTTTAAAAAACATACTTTTGATATGCATTTTGTCGACTATAGAGAATAAATACGACAAACTATTCTTTAAAAATGTTTTACCATACTATAAAATCAAATTTAATACAACTGATTAGTGTAATATTAGATTCTAGTCAGTCAGTCAATTCTGGACACCATAGCTTCTGGGCAAAATCTATATTAGCGTAATAACCGAAAAATAACAGGGAGAAAATAAAATGAGTATAAACAGAAGTGGTACCAGTGGCAATAAGAAAACTGAACGTAGAGAACTTAATGAGAAAAAAACCAATGAAATTGTAGAACGAATCGGATGAATAACATTAAAAATTAGAAGAAACATAAAGAATGACTACATCATTGCAACTGCGACTAATTTCGTACAAAGTTATCTAACACTTGCAAACCTTAGAGTGCGATTACAACGCAAACCTTAACAGGGAAGTTTGAGTCTCGTTAATCACCTCACTCAGACATTCAATGACTTCATGTCTTGATCTAATTAGTGGTAAGCGCTTCATGACCTACTCATGTTAACCAGTACTGCAGAAAGCAATAGAGGGTGACTAGGCAAATGAACCATATATAAATCATACCATTCAATGGAGAAAACTGCACTCAAGGGAGCTTAAACTATACACCGATTACCGTGGCGCGCAATGCTGAATAGTGTCGGAGACGAATGGAAGAACGTTAGGGGCGGCCAAACCAAAACCTGGCATCAGTGCTTGAAGTTACTAACTTCTGGTCTGAGTCATGTTGGTAGATGCAGACTACTCGATTGGGGTACATCCAACTATCGTAACCGATGGTTGGAGACTGCGTGACATGGCTCAGAATCGACCACAATGTCATAGGTGTATACACTTTTTGTCTTCCTTTGAACTACAAGACTAAAATTGATTTATATCTTTCTTTCTACGAACTAATTCTTACTTTATGTGCTATATCCTTATATGCAATCTTTCTTTTATATATTACCACCATTGAATTAACTATTTCTATGAATTTAGTGTTCATCTTGTTATGCTAATGAGGTGTGGCAACTTGGACCGATGCATATATGTGTCTGGTCCTACGTTGTAGCTGACTGACTATTAAAGAAGAATTTACCATATATTGTGAATAAGTCCTATCGAGTAAGTATGTATAATTGACATAACATGTATGACCTTACATCAGTAAAATTAATTTTCAACATGTATATTTAGATATTTTTCTTTATACATTTTGTATTGATGTTTAAATATGGTGTGATATCTAGGACTCATTAACGGTAACGATTAATTGATCATTATGAAATTTTCAACAGTATAAGTACCCAGTACAGATTAATGAAACTTTTTACACAGTGTGATGAAATACATAAAACAAAAAATCTAGGCAGGCACTATCCATGAAAACAATGATTAAACACTTATGTTTTAAAATTCTTTAATTATGCACAACTTATGTGATAAACAATGGGAGAGGTAAACATAAGACTTTTTAGAGAAGTGTATATCTACACGTTGTTACATTTTCATTAGCGCATAATGATAAAACTAACAAAAATGGAAGAATATTAGCATTCACACGGATGTACCTCGATGAAAGAATGCGTCAGCTTGAAAATGGTGTTGTAATCTTAACATTTATCAAGGAAAATAATACGAAGGCATACAAGCTGTCTTAAATACAAATGTAATAGTAATACATGTGTATAGAACAATTACGATATCTAAGTGGTGGATTCGAACCCGATGTGACTGAGGAGAATCAGGCCCAATAGTCATCCTAATTTGATTGTAGGATGAGTGATCTAGAGAACTCTTCAATTAAGTCTGTTTCTTAAATTGCATCAAATTACGCTTATCTTTAATTTAGATGTTTTGTATATAAGTGTTATTTTACTAGACGTAAACGTATTTTGCTCTCAAATCACCTTATCCTTGGATATCAGCTCGTTTGGCTACTTGCATCCATAATTTGATGTTATAAGAAGTCATCAGTTAGCCATATCGTACGATATATCAAATAGCATTCTGTACGTCATTTTAAAAATACTGAAATGTGCATAATCGTCATCGTTAGAATCCGTAAAACTCTCCTTCAAAACAGAACCCTATTGCAGCAAAAAAAACTTTTCTGGTGCATAACTGACAAGGGAAATGATATAACAATTTTTACTAGCTCTCGAATGAGATGATTAATAATGAATGGTCTATTATAAGAATGCTAGTATTAATAAGTTTGCTGCTTGAACGGTTGTTATTAATGTCCTAAGCGCTTCCGATAACCCCAGACTACTACACTGAGACTCAAAGACATAAGATCTGAGTAAACGTTTAACTTCAAGATTAATCTATGTGTAGATAATGGAGTGTATAAGTTTTTAGATGACCTTGATCTTCTAGGAACTTCCGAAAAACTACCATATGTAGCACCAGACTAGGTAATTATCCGATCGAAATGTGATACATAATCCTTTATTTTTCTGCATGCTTATGAGAAACATCCGTTCAATACTGAGAGAATAAAACATTTTTAGTCACTATTTCTGCTTCCGGGGACTTGATCGAAGGATATTTGTGAACCCCCAACAAATAACTTTACAGTAATCTCATTATCTGACTTTTGCATTTTTGTAAGCCATTGTGAAGTGTTTACAAAAACAATCACGAAGTTACCACACACTTGTCTTATCACGTGATAATTACATAGATACATAAATATGTTGCATTTAAACACCATATTATAAACTTCTAATAAGTAAATTTTTTAAGAAATTATTATATTATAGAAAATGTATCGTCAGTACGAATAAAAGCAACAAGAACTGATAAATAAGAGTTTACTTATATTGTGCACAACTTCTGAATAAAGTTGACTAAATAGAAAACGATTTAAAAAAACAAGTAGCTTTAGTTAAATGATTTTAATGACGTTTAAGGCTGACAAAAAATGTTGGGAAATATGGAATAATATGAAGACAATATGAAAATCCGTCTAATTATTATGACAATCAACATTCATTTAAAAAATATTTTGAGGAATTTAGTCTTGAATATATTTTTCTCAAAAAATCACTTAGAAATATTACACAGGACTAGCATATTATGTTCGTTTACATACACATATAGCTAACCGTCATCACGGTAATAAGCAGCTTGTTCGATATTCATCTTCAGATTATCTTAAGTGTACAAGAGAGAATTCATTTCTCTATTGACGTAGTGAAACAACATGTTTGAAAGTATAAGATATAAGTAGAGCGTAGCGTACTTAAAGCTGATACTAAACATAATGTACCAGATAAGTATGGGATAAGTACCAAGCATCACCAACCACAAGCTACTTCATGTGTATGAACTGGTGTGGTATTAAGTTGGATAAAAGCTGTGAGTGGACAGAACAAAAAAGCGTACGTTCATAGAATTATTGACTTAAAGTGAACAATGTAACAATGGATGTACGCTTTTTGATTGGGGCTCGTTAGACGAACGTAAGCTACGTTCAAAGACTTTAGATGGTTCAAAATTGATATCAACTCAGAAGCACCCTATTTTTTGGCTTCTTCTAAGGATGAAACATGATACTATTGTACATACCTCACTGTTTATTTTTAATTGTCTTCATATTTTGTCTTCCACTTCTTTGTTACAGTTTATATTCTGATATTCACTTATTTGCACTTCCTTTGATTAATTTCCATTGACTTAAAGTGTATCAACTTGAACCGACATACATGCAAATGATTTTCTAAATAATTTCCACCTACCGGTAATTAAGAAGCTTTTTATTTAATTGATTAAAGTTCTATTTCGATTAGCATCTATGTAGTGAAGTTCAAACAAAAACATTGTATCAATCCATAAATTCATTGACTTTTGAAGCAAAGTGGATTTGAAGGTATAAATTCACTTGGTTGGGCCTAGCGAGATAATCATGATCAGTGGTTGGCAACGTTAAGTAAAATGACTCAAAATCTGTTGCAGTAATGTATGTGAATTCTTTTTATACCTTCCCTCTAGCTCTTCATTTGCAGTTTCATTTCATACTTTTTATGACACGAATACAATCTTTTCTAAATCGTATTCTTAATATTTAATTATTTTTACCACCACTAATGACACTATTATTAAGACTCCCTTACTATAAATTATATCAGGTTCATCTTTCTGTGCCGATATCGTGAGACAACTTGATCTGATGTGTGTTTATGCCAGGTTAAATTGTTTTGACTGACTAATGTACTGAAAACTACCCGCTTCATATTTAAAGTATTTGACTTTTGGTCAACAAATTAGGAACTTTATCTAATTCCATTTGAATCACATATATACTATCATCAGTCAGTGCATTAAAGTGTGGTTCAAAATAGAATACAATGATTTATAACTACTTACTTTGTTGCATTAAAACAGATTTAACAATTTTCCAAAGAGTTCAATTAGAGAAAATGTACAACTTATTTATTTATTAAACTGTTATGACTGTATATTATTATTATTATCATTATCAAATACTTACTTTCTGATTATGCACCAAGTGAATTGGAGTATTATGATTTATTAAATCTGGTAGATTGATACAATTAGGACAATTGGCGTAAAGTAGATTAACACATCTGTATTATTTATAATGTAGAAAAAAGAATAAATAGAATAAACATTATTATTATTATTATTACTATTATTATTATTGACAACTACTATTATCATCAATGAAAAACAGATAGAATACAATTGTCAAGTATAACTAATTTATAATACACGATTACAATACAGAATTTCAAAAAATTTATAGAAGCGCTGGTGAGGTACAAACTTTTACAATGAAAAGATTTCAAGTGGTGAATTACAAATCCAAAAAAGAAAACCTATCATTTAACTGAACAAATGCACCAAATATTACATGAAATCAGATGAAATTTCTCTCCGACTTTGTATTATTCGTGTGTCACTATGATATCTGATTCCGTTAGTAAAGACGGAAAAAACGAACGAAAATGAAAACGAACGGTTAGATGGAATCAGTAGTGAAAATAAATTAGAATAGTATTATTAATAACTAGGTGGAAAGTGATATACATATTTGAATATTACAATGTATTATTCATGATTTCAGTAATTCATTACCAACATCTATGTCTGAAACTTTAAGAAGCCTTTAAAAACACCAAAAATGTCTTGAAAAGGTGAATTATAGCAAAACAGGAAATACAGGTTACAACTTAAAAGTAATTCCATTGAAATAGATCAACACTTCCTACACTTTCGGTAGCGATCCAACAAAATCCGAATTGTTAATAGTCGTTAGTTCTTAAACACGTTCAACTAACAATTGATTTCACAAAACTTGAATTTATTCTCAATAGTTCATTCTTACGACCAGTATTAATCTCAAAAAAGTATTTGTTCATGTTACTTCAATGAAATGAGGAAATAAAAAAACCTACCACGAGATTGTTATTCACGGTCTTTGTTATTTCTTTGATGAATTAAGATCGTCTCACGACAAACAACAATGAGTGATGAGTTAGACTATGTGTTTCTGTGCACGTGCATACTTACTTATGGATGACCTGACTCAAGACAGTTAACTACTTGCATACTATCAATTGAATTCAAACAATACTATATGAAATAATTATTTCTGAAATAAGAAGTATATTACATTTCTAATTTTGCCAACTAATTATTTGTTGAAAACACAGCTATTTACAATCTAAACAGAATTTTAATAGAAATGACCAAGTAGTAAGCAAGTTAACAAAAGTTTCAGAAACATTTTCAGACTGAACTTTTACAAAGAACAAGTGTTCAAACCCCTAATAGTGTTGATCTTAAAATATAATACTACTACTACTACTACTACTACTACTACTACTACTAATAATAATAATAATAATAATAATAATAATAATAATAATAATACGGAATCTACTGGTAAATGGTACAAACAGCAGTAGTATATCATAACCTGATGTATGGGCGAGAATGATAATGATTGGTTGTTTGTTTAGTTAGGCTGGTAGATAATCTGACAGGTACTAGATGAGTTATATGTTTTCATACCCTTATTATTACTTACGTTCTATTCAGGTTAGTCACGTGTTGCTCATTTGAGTTGCGTTGATGTCCTTTAGAATAGACAATGGAAGGGTATTTACTGTAGATATTCGCCCCATACGTGTAGACGAGCAAACCGAGCATTATAGAAGTGGTGACAGTGCTTAAAATGGATTCTCTCATCACCTATGTTGTTAATTTCGTCTTAAGCCAACGTAATTCTGTTTCCGGTTTTACGTTGACTATGACTGATGACTGACATATGGAATTTATTCATATTTAAAATAGACGGAAATCGATACCTAATAAATTATTTTTTTGTCTCCAACATTAATCTCGGTAATTTCACAAGTCCATTAATTTAGTAATTATAAAATAATGAAATATTCCCTAGTGTAAACAAACTCGTGGTGTCAGTAAGCAAGAAAATATACTAAAGTACACACATGGGATGAAATCGTGCAGTTTTTCCGAGTTTTCTATATTTTACAATAAACCTTAAGTCCAAATAAGTAACGATGTACAATGGTTATCCGATTACTAAAACAGACAACAACGGTAAAAAATAATATTTGGACTTTACAAGAAGCTAAAGTAGTGTATAACTTTGTAGATTCATTAATGACAACCTAATAGATAAAAATGATAAGCTTAAATCAAGTCTATTGAAATCTAGTGAACAGATATTTTTTCTAAATATAGTGATATTGCTATAACTAACCTCGACTAACGTCATTCACAATTATCAACTTTCCCTCCTCTATATATCTAAACATGAAGACAATTAATGCAAACCAGAAAATATGTGCATATTTGTAGATTGATTTATCAATTAAATATATAATGCATGACGATTTATAATAATACCAAACAACCTGACTCATAGATCATTACATTGTTCTTTGAAAATATGATTCGATAGTTGAAGATTGAATACTTAAACTGCTAAGCTCAAACCTTATGATCTGTATAGATGTATAGAATCATAGGCCTCAAATACAAGCCTTTTCTTTAAAAATGATGACATACAGAAAGCGATTTCGCACTGAACTTACTCAAGTGAATCATTATTGACAGCAATATGGATAGGAAATGATTCGAATTCACCAATCATAGGATTACCACCAGCTTTAAGCAGTTTTTCAATGCATTCCATAGAATTATTACGACATGCAATATGTAAAGGAGATTCACCTTTGTTATTCAAAGCATTCACATCTAAGCTTTGAAGATTGTCAAGAAGTAGCTGAATATCAACCAACAAAGAAACAAAAAGAGAAAAATGGAGGGAAATGAAGATGAGAAGTATGTATCTAGAAAACTGATTCCTTTTAACGTTCCTCTGACTATTTCTACCTACACTTTTCTTGTCAAACCTCGGTAAATCGACGATAATCTCGAATTTAAAGACAAATTAGTAATTAAGTTTAGGTGTATTTTTTGTAAGGATATTTGATTATATGGTTGTCTGTTTTCAAAAAAATCAATTTTATCAAATTTTTCACATTATTACATCATATATTTGACAGAATTCAACGAAACAGGCAATCAAAAATAAAGAAAGGAAACAGTTGAATATAAATAAAAGTTTCTTCTTTATCGACTAACTGATTTTCACAATTATACACGTACACAAGACTACAACTTGTCACAGTAAATATTCACCTTTCAGAAGTAATGTCCTACGGATATGCCTTATATATATATATATATATATATATATATATATATATATATATCCAACTTTACACACAACGCTTAGTTAATATCACTAGTTAAGTAGATTAAGTCACCTATATTTTAACATACCACTATGGTCACGTAGAAGGTCGAATAAGAACTATCCATAGTATCCTATATCATTTAAACGTTTAAAATGTTTGAGATACATTTGGACTTTTGCTAAATATGCATACAGAGAACTGCATATGAACAATGTTAATAACATGAATGAGGTTCAAAGGACGTGTTGTAGTGAAGAAGTTACTTGGTAAAATAGACAAACCATACTATAATACTTAATTTGCAAAATATCCAATAATTGTCTCGGACTTCATTGTTCTTGCGTTTCTATACTAATTGCTTTCTATTCCTGTTCTTCCTTTCTTGATCTTCCCAATCTTCTGCTGCAAGACATAACATTCCTGACTTGTGTTATATACTACTTATGTCAATATAAGTAGCACGCACCATACTCGTCCCCCATTTTAATAAGGTGTCGTCGTAGGCTTTCTGATCGCCGTATCGCTGTCTTCTTTGGTGCCATTCGTGACTCACACTCATGATGGTCTTGAAACCATCTCTGTAATTGACTGTCATTTAAGCGCTTCTGATTGTCTTTTCTCCGGATCGTGTAGACCGAGCCACGTCTCTCCGTGATGACATACAGTCCTTCCCACTTTGGGATCAACTTTCCCGACCCTGATCCCCCTGTCATGCTACTTTTCCGTTCTCTACACTTTATTAGGTCCCCCACTGCAAAAGGTTTCCACGTTCTCATCTGCTGTTCCGCCTTCTTTATGTCTGATATTTGTTTCTTTTCCACGTTCCTTATTGCCTCCCTCCTCTCTTTTCTTAACCTTGTTGTCGTCTACTTCTGTTGTTTTGGTCAGGTCTTATTATGCAATTAAAGTCGTGGCTGTCTGTCATACATAAACAAGAAAGGTGACTTCTTGGTTGTGCCTTGAATGGAGGAACGATGCGGCAGCAAAAGTTAATGGTAACTCTTTCTCCCAATTTCCTCCTTTAGGTGTTAACCATTCCTTTGACGTCTGTTTGTTTCTCTCTGTAAGCCCGTTCGTCTGAGGATGATACGGTGTAGTTCGTATCCTCTTGATGCCAAACTGCTTTGGACGGGCTTTAAACTCGTCACTTTCAAAACAGCGTCTACTCAACGTGTAACATGTTCCGTCATCACTAGCAGGTACTGGTTACCACTCGCCGTCTGTGGAAACGGTCCCATCACATCCACCGACTATAGATCACCGACTGCGGTTATTGGGATTGACTGTGATGGCGGTTGTGTGTATCGATCGCTTTTCATTAGTTGACACTGCTGGCAAGTTAACACGTGCTGAGCCACATCGTCTCTCATGCCCGGCCAGTATGCAATTTGTCCTAGTAAATCCGTCGTTCTTGCGATGCCTGTATGTGCTACCTGATGACACTCGTGCATCATCTTACGCCGCCAGTCTTTCGGGATTACAGCCACCCAATTCTCGTCATCGTCCTGCCAGGTCAGGACCTCATATGTGTTCACTCTCAATCGTTCCTTTTGCCGAAGCAGCATTATTACCTCCTTGTCCATTGTTCGTTTGTCAACGTCTACTCCCTCTTTTATCACTCTGATTACTTCTCGAAGCTTAGGGTCAGCTTTCTACTGTCGGACGAGTTCTAGTGAGTCTCCCTCTAAACTATTCACCGCGTATACTGTCAATGGAAGCTCGGCTTCCATGTATGGTTGTTAGGGTTGAAGCTTAACGAGTTCACTTAAATTTGCGAACGAGAACGTGATTCGGTGACCAACGACCAGTGAGCTAGCTAATGACGCGTCCCAGTCCCAGCTATCTAGAGGGAGAAGTCCAGGCTTGAAATGAGAAGTATATTCTGCAACAACCAGAAAACCAGCGAATTTTTACAAGACAATTTTAAAACGTGTATATACAAATATATATATATCCATATTCCCATGGAGCTTTTAAACATTTAATCGATATTTCGTCAATTGACTAAGTGCGTGGGCGATAAGAAATGCCCACGTATACATTTGCATACAAGCTCCACAAGATAAAATTACAAACTATGAGTTTTTTGGGATCTATCGTCTTCAACACTGGTCTTGAGAAGTAATCCGCCATTACGTTTTCCTTTCCTGGAACATGGCCGATACTGAAGTCGTACTCTTCAAGACGTATCATCTATCGCGCCAACACCCCTCGGGGGTGTCGAGAGGATTTTTCAGAGTTTGGTGATCGAATAAAACTACAATTAAAAGACACTTCAAAAGCATAGTCTGTAATTCAACTAAAAAACTTGTTTGTCCCCCAGCTGGCTGAAAACCGACTGAATAAAACAATAATCAAGAATGATGGCACAAAGACACATTGACCTTTTTCTTCACTATGGTTTAATAAAAGTTAAGTTCCTCAAGTACAATTTGACAGAAACTGTCATTCACCCATGATTTTGTAATTCCCAAAGTAGAAAAACATCTTAACTGTTCATCTTACTTAGGAATACTTCAATTCTTCACTAAACTAACTTTAAAGTTTCCATATTTGATGAAATAGTCATCACTAAATATAAAAGTTCAGGTAAAACTAGGAATACGTCTAATCTACAAATTATCCGCATTACTAGGAGTGATTAGCCCATTAAGGAATTAGAAATGGATTTTAATTAGATTAATTTCTAATTATTATCGGAATAATAAGTGAAGATTAGCTGGAGATTGAGATGGTTAATTTTTAATACTTCATCCCGGAAGTTTACTAAACTAAGCAATAAATGAATGACTTATTAGTTGTCGCTATGTTTTCACGTTTCACACAGACGATGACAAGTTTAATCGCATTTAGAAATGACGGGTTAGATTTTACACACTATTCAGTCAGTAGCTGAAAGTTAGTGAGCTTGAAACTTATCGTAGACTAGTTAAACTAGGTGACATTTACTCTTTTTATGAAGATAAACAGTAAATTCAAAGAACATGTCAGAGGGTAAAAAGATTCAGTTTTTGGATTTAGTTGTATTATTGAAACCAAAAGTATGAAAAAGCTTATAAATACAACCAATAACAAGGTACACATGGTGAGAGATTGGTCAGAATTCGGTGCTAAATATCAAAGAAGGAAAAACAAACCTACGAAGAGTATTTTTGAAAATGGTTTCATTTTTAGGATATAGTAACAGTCCTAAAGTTACGTCTGTTTACGGTTAATTTTGTCGACGCCTTCTATTAACTTATTTAATAGAAAGTGTTATTCGAACAGTAACAATTTGTCTATTTCTTTGTATTCTTTTTATTATTATGTTTGTATAATCAGGTATGCTTGATCACACGTTATAGCCTACGCATATACCTCTCTCCCTAACTTAAATGTTAGTTACTTAAATATTGCTCGATGAAACATTCGCTTTCCCAAACATATATATGTGTGCGTGAATCTTATTAACCAATTCGACTCTGTATTCTTCTGGTCGCGCGAATTAGCCCTTCTGCTCAAATTCGCTTGATGTGCTTGTAGCTTGGTTATCTGCGCTATCCGATAATAAGCTGTAGTCGGCGCTTTGTGTCGCCTTCTGAATTCACACACCGTTGAGATTTATTTAATAACGGTTATCAGGGTGATTGATAAATGAAGCCTATGGAATTATCTCAAAGCCAAGTCACTGTGTAATAACAAAACTATTGCAAAGTTTTGTGCAGATAATTCCGTACAGGATACAAAAAATACAGTATTTGATGTTTATTATCAATCCAGATTACTAACTTACTAAAAATATCTAGCGATTCGGTAACCAGATAAGCGAAACAACCAATCAGTTAAGTACACAGATATGCATAAGCCCAAATTGTCATTTCGTATCAGCACAATAAAAGAGTAGAATAGTAGTAATACCAACGATACTAAAAGATATTAGATATCAGAAATTATAGTTCGAAAAGTAGGAAATTAGAGGAACAAACAGCATTACTTAATACCAAATTTCAAAACTTAGAGGAAGATAAAAAAGAAATAACCAGGTACTTTTTGGACCACACCTTTCAGACTAGGGACATCTTCGGATGAGTATAGATAAGGTCTATAGAAGTCACTTAGTAACACATAACTGTATTCTGTGATACCCGATTATATCTTCTATTTATAACAAGTAGTTTAGGACAACTTAACATGTTATAGACCTAAATATATCTCAGATATTGTCAACTATAGCTAGATATTTTCTCGAAATGATAATAATATATAAACTTACAGATAAAATTTTCACCGAAGTATCTCCCAAAACCAAATGGAGAACAGTATTACCATCCTCATCTTTTTCAGTTGCCTTGATATTATCCAAAGTTACTAAAGACCGAACTGTCTCTTCATCATTCTCTTTGATTGCGACTCGTAGTGGAGTTAGACCAGAAAGAGGATCATATTCATTCAAAAGACTGAAATGCGAAATTAATTAGCTGGCAAGATTCCATAAACATACCCGTTTATTGACTCGCTTAAGAAAACCTCACGCCAAGACATTGCTGCAGCTACATGAGCAGCTGACCAGCCACATTGGTTTCGACAGTACGCAGTTATTTTCTCCAAATATGTGCGATCAATGGGTAAACTCATGTTCATACAGGCTAAATGCAGAGGATCCAAAACTTCTATGTATCTTAAAAATACGGCGACGCCTGCTTCTTGTTCGCCTTGAAATCTAAACAAACTAGGTAATTTTAAGATTGAATAGCATTTTTAATAAATGAAAGTAGATAAACACCTGTAAGCGTAAACAGTCTCTCCATTGACTGGAATGCCAACTGATCCAGGTAAGTAAACCATATCAAAATGATTTGCCACTTTGTAGAAATAATAAATTGACTTTTGTTGTAGTAATTGTTCACAACTAGGGATAATGTTTAACTATATGAATATTTAAAATGAACTCACTTTTCATATTCAGATTCGTACTGGCTTAAAGTATAAGATGTTACTTTATTAGGGGATATAGACGAAACAGCTGTTTTGACAAAATTACTAACATATTTTCCGAAAGAAGTCATAATTTTCGAGTCAGAAGACCAATCATATACCACTTATCTATGACTAGAGTATGGTACAGCTTCTGTTTTCATCAACAAAAAAATACTGACAACAAAAACACGAAAATAGACAAGGATTAGTAAACAACCGAGAAAACAGTTAAACGTAGTGGATGTACTGGAAAATAAGACACAAGTAATATGTATGTCGTTTTGAAAATTATACTGGGCAATTATAAGACTGTGGAGATAGGCCTAATAAACCTATTTTGAAAATAGTTTTTGATAGTTTTTGCAATTATTTTGTTTATTTTCACAATCTGTACATTTATCACTAAACGATTATACTTGTTTAAGTGTGTGACTTTGACTTACTTGCTTTTTTCCTTCCGTTTTGAATTACGCATAGCACGGCATTGTTAATCGCGCATTAATACATACACTCTTATGCACACATGCCTCGTTCTATCATGCCTGTGGATATAATAACCAAACTATTAATTAACTATCATCTATATTTATAGACTGTTGTGACATTCCTATTGCATTCTACGTCAGGAAAACTTACTGGAGCCATATTTGCCTCATTGGAATTATTAATTATCTATAATCGTGGGTTTTTGGTACCAAGCACAATGGAACACGCAACAGCCAGCTGATTTAAGTAACGTCCCTGAACTTTTATTTTGAGTTAACAATTTATAAGTTGTTTATTGTTACATTGACTTTTGGACGTAATAACTTGATTGCTATTCCTTTTTGGTTAATATACCTTTTGGTCTAACACAAGACTTTGATGGGAACAAATAGCCACAAATGTGACAAAGAATCAAAAGAGTGCGCTAAACTTATCCAGAAACGAAAAGTGACAAAACGCATGTGTTTTGATATTATCAGAATCTTTTAGCAAGTGCCATATCTACGGTAGGGATTAATGACATTACATAGTTATATTACAGACACAAAGTACCTAAATACAACTTGAGAGGTAGGAAATCAATATTGATTTAGGATAAATTATTTTAACACTAACTTATTCATTATGACTTTTGCTTATGAACTTTCAATGCATTTTTCACCATAATTGGTTTATTGATAACTACTATGTTCATAAACTATAGTTATCTTAACCGATATTCAACTGATTATCCCAAATTTATTTTGGAATCTACTGTAGCCATCGTCGACGAATTCTTGCTCTAGATAGCGAGGGAAAGTGAATAGGATTAGTACCGTTCATTGCATTTATCAGTGGGAGTTAATGAATATCAGACTACCGCACGATATCAGACTGCTAGGACTGAAAAATAAACTGAAATCCGAAACTGTAAGCTATCTATTAGAAGTCAAATACGTGAATGAACCAGATACGGTTAGAAAATATTAAGTAAAAATTGTACAAAGATTTGAAATCTTCGGAAGATCATGAAGATGGACGAGGATCAGAGTACATGAGGGAAAATGAATACACTGCTTCACCTACAAACTATAATGTGACAAAAACAACAACTAATCCATCTTTTTCAAGTATAAATTGACGGAAAATACTTTAAATAGGTAGCCCATTTGACTAAAATAGTATGTGTACATAACGAGATAAACTTGTGTTTTACATATATATAAATAAGAAAGTGGAGGATAAGCGAGAAACAAGTTGGAGTACATCCTTAGTAAATTGTTAGTTAACAAGCAAAAACAGAAAGCACATTACTACATAAAAGTAACTGGTTTATTTATTTATTTGAACACATAAATATTGGTACAAGGGAGCACCAAATATATATGCGCCACACAAAACAATGAGAATGGGAAAAGAAAAAGAAGGTAAGGAGCGTATAAGAAAAAAAAGAACAACAACGACCACAAATTAGTGTAAGGTAGTGTAATAATAATAATAATAATAATAATAATAATAATAATAATAATAATAATAATGGGGGAAACGGAAAGGTACAATCAGAAGAAATCTTTCAGTTAAGGAAGATACAACCACTTTTTATGAAGAAAGTAAAAGGTTACAGCAGGATCGCCATTGGCTTCTATTCTGAGCCATATCTGATAACATCTCTAGCCACTGTGTTGCACCATCTCTCGGACCCCAAACAGGGAGTCGTGAAGGACCAACAGAAGCTAGTCCTTTGCAGCTTTCTTTCATACCACGACACCATGTCATATACTGACCACCTCTCCGCTTTTTCCAACCAGTCCCAGAGTCGGCAAATAATGCACGACGAGGAATTCTCTGGGACGACATTCGTAGAACATGTCCAAGCCACCGAAGTCGATGTTTCAAGATGGTGACACCAATTTCATTATCGTCTCTGTGCCCGAACACACCATACCGAACCTTTGCATTACTAACATGGTGTTGCCATTGAATGTCAGTAATCCTTCGGAGACAACGATGATCGAACACACCGAGTCGTCTAACATCCTCAGCTCGGAGAGGCCAGGTTTCACAAGCATAGAGCAAAACTGCTTTCACCGTCGCGTTGTAGATCCGACCTTTTACAGCCAGACTAACATCACGAAGGCGCCAAAGATGGCCCAGATTGGCATAAGCCGCTCTGGCTTTCACTATACGTGCATTGATCTCATCACTCACGCCACCATCAGCACTTATGTAACTACCTAGATACACGAACTTCTCGACTACTTCTATCTGCTCACCATCCAGAGTAAGTACAGGATTAGAATCCTGCCAGTCTTGTGGAAGTACTTTGCACTTCGAAGGTGCAAAGCACATAACATACCTACGGACACTGATTGCCAACTGGTTAAGTGCGGATTGCATGGCTTGAGCATTATCTCACAGTAAGACAATATCATCCGCATACTCAAGGTCGAGAAGTCTTTCTCCAAGCAACAGATCCACACCACCATTACTTACATCCGTCAGAGCTGTTTCCAGAATGTCATCGATGGCAAAGTTGAAGAGGAATGATGAAATTGGGCAACCCTGCCTAACCCCACTGCTCGAATGGAATAATGGAGAAAGGTGGTTGTATGCCCTCACTCTGTCTGAGGTATTTGTGTATAGGGCTTTTAGGATGTTAATAAACTTCTCAGGCACACCCTTCTTCAATAGACAATTCTTCGGCAGAAACTACTAACATTAAGGCAGAATTTACTTACCTAGATATAAAAAGTTCTGTACACTAGAATCCCCATATACTATATATTAAACGACGATATCTCTGATCTGGATATTTCCCTAGGAGTTTTCGCCTTTACGTCGGTTATTTAGGGGAAATGTCGCTTTTTCGCCTTTACAGCGTGTATTTAGGGGATATTTGTAGACAAAAATGCGTTACGTATAGTTCTTGAATATGCCGCCTCCAGTTGTTATGTTTTCATAAACTTAAAAAAAAAAACTAAGAGATTATGAAAGAAACATCACTATTGTCATGAAAACAATTAACAAAATACGAACGCAGTGATTAGGCCGACACTCATATTCACTGACTTTAATCTTTGTTTAGCTAAAGTGTTCGGACATGCTTGGTATCCAACACAAATAACTAACGTGATGCAAGTGAGTGACGTGCTCTCCGTTTTTCATGTTCATTACAATTTACTACCTTGTTAGTCCAATAACCTTAGTTCCATTGAAGTCACCGATAGAGCTCGTAGACGAAGGGCAACTATTAACCTGTCAAGCGTTCTTGGTTGTCATAGATCGACTTATAACAGACGATGGAATAAATTACGAATAGCTTTCATGAAAAAACATAACTTGCTTTCATTTAGTGAGTCGGCTAGTGAAAGCACAATTACAGGTAAGTGACTTTCTATGTAGTGTACGTTTAATTGACAGCAGTGGACAGAAAAATTACTAGTAATGAGACTGCAAATATGACACCATCCACTAGCTGCAGTTATCCAAGGGCTCCAGATAATAATGGTATGTATATAAAGTTAATACGCGAATACATTTCTTGTAGGATCTACTGACGTTACTTTATGCTCTCAAAAGTCCCTTAATCGCAAAGACCAAATCAACAACGTGTTGATGTCATTAATTACGAACACCTGTCTCAGCATCAGTGATGCTGATAGAATTCTGAATGAATTAAGAGACCTTGTTCCGGACTTACCAAGTAGCATCAGAAGCATTCTGCGAACGTGTTTTGGCGCGTTTTCCCCTAAATTTCCCCTTTCTTTACCAAAGCATTTTCCCCTTTATTTCCCCTTTTTTCGCCTTTATTTCCCCTTTGTTGGTTGATTGGGAGGAAAGGATATTCTGATACATTATAATAAGACTGGAGATATTTGTCCGGAAACGCATCCCATATAGCTTGTGAACATACCACATATTACTTTATTAAAAGACAGGATTAGTTTACGCAAATTATCATATTAATATTTAGCCCTAGATCAAAATAATCGTTTACACAACAGATGTTTACGCACACCTAATCTAGTTTACCGATGGAAATTAAACGAAAGGAAAGTGATACAAGCTCTTCATGTGTATTATTGCTCGTACGCTTTCTTTATCAGGCCAGTAATACAAGACAGAAAACCAACTTACAGATGATACTTTGAAAGGAGCGCTTTGATTAAGACTAAGGTCATCAGCGAACCATTGCTTTATTACAACAAAGAAATTTCTGAGGAACTCATATGAATTGTTAAAAGTAGACGATGAAGCGTTTCACGTCTAGACAGAGGGGAGCATACAAAGTAGGAAGAGTGAGGAGGGGTGTGAAGCAAGAGAACAAAAGTAAAGTTGAGTCTAAGACTCAGAAAGCGCACATAGCACACTTATATTTACTACGGAAAGCGACAGACAACGATAAGAAATAACAAGGTTCTCATATTAAGACAATCTAGAGATCAAAACTAGAAGCCGATAGTTTTATTTAAGTCTTCTGTAAGATTTGCTCTCATTGATAGTAACAACGATCGTTGTCAGGATGTTGAGTAAATTCTTTATACAAAGTATGATACGGAGTACAATAGCCGTATTTACTCAAAAACGATTGTTTTCGTATGTATTAATATTGGTTCTAATCACA